AACAGAAGCAGCATAAGTGATGTCTGTGTTTCCACATTATGACCCAGCTTGGTCTTGTCCCACTTCTTGACTGTCCGGTTTGTGATGTGTGTGTCTGTGATGTATAACTGCAGACTATTATTGGCCAACAAGCACACGACACCCATCAGCAGATTCACGTCTACTTTAGTCAGAAATAGGTTTTGTGAAATGTATTACTAAGACAACTTCAAATGTACTTTGATAATTTTTCAATTAACCTGACAAATTTATCTTTTATGGTAGGAATTTAAACTTTGTATTCAGTGGTGAGAGGCTGTTAAAAAAATAATGATGTATTACGAAACTTGCTCCAGTGAGAGTCACTTGACGACACTTTAAGTGTCCTTTACCAAGATAATTAGTACATATTTCATTCCCACTTCAGGGTGTTATTACTGGTATGGATATAACGGAAGGACATTGAAATATTCAGAAGCTTACCATATTTCCTCAATTATGCCCGGTAGTATTAATGCACAGATTTCTCCCTATTACAATCTTTTCATTTAACTGTTGGCGATAGAGAGTATCTGAAAGGAAAAAACACTTGGGTGTTTAATCGAGGAAATGGCTATCCTGCAAAAACAACTTTCAAATAGTAGTTAGAATTTTGAATTCACTCCTTGTGAATACCTGACACTTTTGTATGATAACAACTTCTTTATTCTTTGTACGACGTTTCAGAGCTACTTCTTGCTCCTTCATCAGGTGAATGCTTAGTAAGTGCAAAGAGGACTATATATATATATAAGTCATTATGTTTACACAACACAAGGTGGATGAATGTACAAAGATAACAACATAAAGACAAAGACATAGGATGAATGTACAATGATAACACATAATGACAATGACATAGGATTCATGTACAAAGATAACAACATAATGACAATGACATAGGATTCATGTACAAAGATAACAACATAATGACAATGACATAGGATTAATGAACAAAGATAACAACATAATGACAATGACATAGGATTCATGTACAAAGATAACAACATAATGAAAATGACATAGGATTCATGTACAAATATAACAACATTATGACAATGACATAGGATTAATGAACAAAGATAACAACATAATGACAATGACAGGATTCATGTACAAAGATAACATAATGACAATGACATAGGATTAATGAACAAAGATAACAACATAATGACAATGACAGGATTCATGTACAAAGATAACAACATAATGTCAATGACATAGGATTCATGTACAAAAAAAACATAATGACAATGACATAGGATTAATGAACAAAGATAAAAACATAATGACAATGACATAGGATGAATGTACAAAGTTACATAATGACAATGACATGGGATTAATGTACAAAGATAACAACATAATGACAATGACATAGGATTAATGAACAAAGATAACACCATAATGACAATGACATAGGATTAATGTACAAAGATAACAACATAATGACAATGACATAGGATTAATGTACAAAGATAACAACATAATGTCAATGACATAGGATGAATGTACAAAGATAACAACATAATGACAATGACATAGGATTAATGAACAAAGATAACATAATGACAATGACATAGGATGAATGTACAAAGATAACAACATAATGACAATGACATAGGATTAATGAACAAAGATAACAACATAATGTCAATGACATAGGATTCATGTACAAAGATAAAAACATAATGACAATGACATAGGATGAATGTACAAAGATAACAACATAATGACAATGACATAGGATAAATGAACAAAGATAACATAATGACAATGACATAGGATTAATGTACAAAGATAACAACATAATGACAATGACATAGGATTAATGAACAAAGATAACAACATAATGACAATGACATAGGATTAATGTACAAAGATAACATAATGACAATGACATAGGATTAATGTACAAAGATAACAACATAATGACAATGACATAGGATTAATGTACAAAGATAACAACATAATGACAATGACATAGGATTAATGAACAAAGATAACACCATAATGACAATGACATAGGATTAATGTACAAAGATAACATTATGACAATGACATAGGATTCATGTACAAAGATAACAACATAATGACAATGACATAGGATTAATGTACAAAGATAACAACATAATGACAATGACATAGGATTAATGAACAAAGATAACACCATAATGACAATGACATAGGATTAATGTACAAAGATAACATAATGACAATGACATAGGATTAATGTACAAAGATAACACATAATGACAATGACATAGGATTAATGAAGAAAGATAACATTATGACAATGACATAGGATTAATGTACAAAGATAACAACATAATGACAATGACATAGGATTAATGTACAAAGATAACAACATAATGACAATGACATAGGATTAATAAACAAAGATAACATAATAATAACAATGACAGGATTCATGTACAAAGATAACAACATAATGTCAATGACATAGGATTAATGTACAAAGATAACATAATAATGAGAAAGCCAATGACATAGGATTCATGAACAAAGATAACAACATAATGTCAATGACATAGGATTCATGTACAAAGATAAAAACATAATGACAATGACATAGGATGAATGTACAAAGATAACAACATAATGACAATGACATAGGATAAATGAACAAAGATAACATAATGACAATGACATAGGATTAATGTACAAAGATAACAACATAATGACAATGACATAGGATTAATGAACAAAGATAACACCATAATGACAATGACATAGGATTAATGTACAAAGATAACATAATGACAATGACATAGGATTAATGTACAAAGATAACATAATGACAATGACATAGGATTAATGTACAAAGATAACAACATAATGACAATGACATAGGATTAATGTACAAAGATAACAACATAATGTCAATGACATAGGATTAATGTACAAAGATAACATAATAATGACAAAGCCAATGACATAGGATTCATGTACAAAGATAACATAATAATGACAATGACATAGGATTCATGTACAAAGATAACAACATAATGTCAATGACATAGGATTCATGTACAAAGATAAAAACATAATGACAATGACATAGGATGAATGTACAAAGATAACAACATAATGACAATGACATAGGATTAATGAACAAAGATAACATAATGACAATGACATAGGATTAATGTACAAAGATAACAACATAATGACAATGACATAGGATTAATGTACAAAGATAACAACATAATGACAAAGCCAATGACATAGGATTAATGTACAAAGATAACAACATAATGACAATGACATAGGATTAATGTACAAAGATAACAACATAATGACAATGACATAGGATTAATGTACAAAGATAACATAATAATGACAAAGCCAATGACATAGGAGTAATGTACAAAGATAACAATTTTGTTTTCTTTTGTACCAGTTGTCAGACAGTTGTTGACGACAGGACTAGTCTATTAGGAATTAAGGTGATATATCACACACAAGATGTGCCCTTAACCATAAAAGTTTTTGTTTTAAGCTGTCTGACAAATGGGTTGGCTGACAGATGGGCGATGACCGTTTCAACACTTGCTTTGTTGGGTGCTATAGTAACAGATTCCATTATACAATGAATCATAATATCTCAAAGTGCGAGACAGGCCGACTACTTGTTGATGTTTGCAAGGCCGACTACTTGTTGATGTTTGCAAGGCCGACTACTTGTTGATGTTTGCAAGGCCGACTACTTGTTGATGTTTGCAAGGCCGACTACTTGTTGATGTTTGCAAGGCCGACTACTTGTTGATGTTTGCAAGGCCGACTACTTGTTGATGTTTGCACGGCCGACTTCTTGTTGATGTTTGCAAGGCCGACTACTTGTTGATGTTTGCAAGGCCGACTACTTGTTGATGTTTGCAAGGCCGACTACTTGTTGATGTTTGCAAGGCCGACTACTTGTTGATGTTTGCAAGGCCGACTACTTGTTGATGTTTGCAAGGCCGACTACTTGTTGATGTTTGCACGGCCGACTTCTTGTTGATGTTTGCAAGGCCGACTACTTGTTGATATTTGCAAGGCCGACTACTTGTTGATGTTTGCAAGTCAACTGAATTTGTTCTTGTTCCAGATTATGCTTTGTGGTTAAAAAATAAATCCCGATAATTTAGTGTTTACAGTACTAACAGTCTGTGTGGCGAGTCGCATGCGAAGATTATGTTCTTATATAGCAGTTGCTTATTTAGTCTATATCAATCTACAACATAAATAATAAGTACTGGACATTATGACTTAGTTAGATGAACTACTGTGTAGATAGTAGATAAGTACCTAACATATGATTTATAAGCAGGATTACGGTACGATATTAAGATAACAAATACTTTTCAGATTAAAAATTACAAAACCTGACATCAATTAATATTTTGAAAAAATGACTGCCCTACAATAGATCTATGACTCCCTGTAGTCCAGCTATGGAGTCATGACGACCACAGTTTTTTAGAGGCTTGGGCAAACTCTTCACATCTGTCATCCAGAACATTGTCTCAAGTTATTTGTGGTGGATTGTAGGGTCTGCAAATATCCTTGTATAACATAGGTATGGATTTATGGATTTCGAGGGTTAATTGAGAGGGTTGTCTAATATCTCATGTCGGCCAGTTTGTCCTTAGGCAGATCCAGAGTGGGGTCCTCCTTTTTGAAAACTAAATGTAGTACGAGTGTTGTATTTTGGAGCCCTCTCTTTTAAAAATGCTTTATCCGCCCTTGTTGTCAGCACCATACCTGTGCGTATGGGTTTCACAAATGTGGTCCCCACCTGAGACTTGAGTCACTTAGGGTATCCCTACCACGTGAAGCTGACACGCCATGACACTTAAAAAACTGGTCAAAGCAGTGTTAAACCTAACTCACCGTTGTTGGCCATGATGTACAGTCATCACAAATGTGACAGACTTTTGTTTTGAAGATGAATTAAATTTCAGTGCATTATTTTTCAGAGGGAATATTCCCAGGCCAAAGAAGAAATAGAAGTTTACAGCAAAAGGACCTTCAATCTCCTTTTTGTGCAGTGTGCCAAAAGTCAAGATGGATGACAAAGAGGCGCCCAAGATGTCCTTCATGTCCCGCCTTTCGTATGGCGTGGGTCATGTGCTGAATGACTTGACAGCCTCAATGTGGTTCAGCTACCTACTAATCTACCTCCACCAAGTGAAGAACTTCAACAATAAGCTGGCAGGAGACCTGATGCTGATAGGTCAGGTCAGCGATGCCATGGCGACGCCATTCATAGGCTATGAATCTGATAGAACAAATGGGATCTGCAAAATGGGGAAGAGGAAATCCTGGCACTTCATTGGTGATTGTTTTATTTTATACTTGCTATTTTCAGTGTAGGCACACACTCTGAAAGTGTGGAAATACTTGTGACTAATTTGTCTACCGCTAAGGTCAGACATTTTAAACACTTGGTTTATGAATCCACCGACTCCCAAAACTTTACTTGTAAACAAAACTAAAAAAAAATAAAAAGCAGTATTTTTTTATGGTGCCAACCAGAAATATAAAATGTTAAAAAACTCTCTTTTACTGTCGCTATAAAAATACATAAATTGTTTAAAATACTATGATTAAGACCTGTTGAAATTTAATCTTACAATTTTCAAAACACGACAAATATGACAAAGAGGAAATCTAAAGAAATAGATTTGAAATTTTATTTTTTAATATTTCCTTTTTTATCTACTGACTTGAATTTAAGTGCCACCTCCCCTCAGCCTCCCCTTAAGTTTCAATTTTCCTATGTATCTATGACAAGACAGGCAACCCTTTGTATTTTCATCAATATTCCAACTGTATGGAGGTGGCCTGTAATTAATCAAGTCTGGACCAGACAATCCAGTGATTTGATATTATGAGCAATGACCATGTCTATGGATAAAGTGACGTGCAGTGAGGCTTGTTACATTGCCTGATCCCCGGGTCTCATAACCTCTAGCCTGCTGAATTGTTTGCTCACCTCTTAGCCCCACCTGCTGAATATATATTTTAGCTTAAGGCGCTGTAAGGGGGGTGGGTAGTTTCAAACTTATTTTTTTTATTTCTCTCAACCAGCTTGAATAGAATGTGGAATGATTTCAAAAATAATATATCCGATGTCATAAATTTAACTAAAGTTTAATTCCTTTATAGGACAAACATAGAGAAGCAAAATATAACATACATAACAGCAGAATTAATGTTTTTGCATCCAGTTGATTCTAAACTCTTGGCAAAACCCTTGAAATATTAATTACCTTCCTAACAATATGTACTATAAAGTTCATGAAAAATATGATTTGACAGTAATATATTATTAAAGTGAGCCAATGACTACGCTCTGTCTGGTCTCAGATTAGAGTTCACCGTGCTTTCTGCTAAGTCAAGCCCTGTGCGATAGTTGTTTTGAAAATCCTTATTATTATTTACTTGTTAAGCCAAGTGATTACAGTTCATTGCGGAACGTTGAGCAGTTCAGCCAGGTGAGACACTCACTCACTCACTCACTCACTCACTCACTCACTCGCAGAGGAGGATACTGGTAGTATACATGGTTTATGATGAGAATACTGCTATGCTAATATAATACCAACATATTCTACCGAGACATGTAGAAATATAGTATACTAGTACTATTACTAGACAAATAAAACATGTACTAATCACAATCAATGAATATGACTTTTTATTTTTTGTGTGATAAATGTTATTTTTTTATTACTTTTGTTATTGTTATCATCAGTAGGGTTATTAAACTGATACATATATTATCCCACTTCTCTCTCACTGATACATATATTATCCCACTTCTCTCTCACTGATACATATATGGTCCCACTTGATAGATTGATTGTCTTCAAATGGAATAGGGGCGGTCCGGTAGCCTACTGGTTAAAGCGTTCACATGTCATGTGAAGCCCATTTCTGGTGTCCCCAGTAATGATATTGCTGGAATATTGCTAAAAGCAGCGTAAAACCATACTCACTCACTCACTCAATAATAGTTTGACTAGTCCTCTGTTTCCCTGCAGGTACGCTGTGTGTGATTGCCAGTTTCCCCTTCCTGTTCATCGGCTGTATCACCTGTGACCACGCACCGGACTGGGCCCAGTTTGTTTATTTCATTCCCTTTGTGGTCATCTTCCAGTTCGGATGGGCGTCGACACAGATCTCTCATCTATCTCTCATTCCTGATCTAACACCCAATGAACACGAAAGAGTGGGTCTTAATGGCCTACGGTAAGTATCTCCCAGTGACTGAGGCCGAAAAAATTTGGTCTGAAATGGAAAGAAAAAATTCTCAAACATTCGCAAAGTGAAGATTATTGAAACCCTCCTATCAGAGTTCCCCTCTGGACCGCCATGTCAACTCTTCTTTTCGTAAGAAATGTTACCAATAGAAATAAAAAATATGTAATAATCAATTTACCGGGGTATACAAGTATATTCCCCACTTACCACTGTGTGGCAATGAGCACAACACCAGGTTCGCAGTCAATTTCAAGGATAAAGGTCACAAAGTTGAAATAAGACCTTGACAATACTGATAATGGCCATATACAATATTTGAAATGCAAAATCACACAAACTAACCTGGATAATGAAATCCTCAAAACACAAACACTGAGCTCCAAGAATATACACAATATTTCAATGTAACTTACCTCAAACAAGTGTTAGACCGCCAACAAGATGCACCTGACAGAAACCTGAATACACAATAGATAGTAAGCTGAAGTTAAAAGCTGAAATTAAACATATAAAATATCATCCTAATATATACAAATACTTAAAACTTGACTAGGCCACACTCTGCACCTCTGAAACACCGTACTCCTGTGTGCATCTCTAACCCCATGTTAATGAAAGAATGAACCTCTGGTACTTCTGTGTGCATCTCTAACCCCATGTTAATGAAAGACTGAACCTCTGGTACTTCTGTGTGCATCTCTAACCCCATGTTAATGAAAGACTGAACCTCTGGTACTTCTGTGTGCATCTCTAACCCCATGTTAATGAAAGACTGAACCTCTGGTACTTCTGTGTGCATCTCTAACCTCTGGTACTTCTGTGTGCATCTCTAACCCCATGTTAATGAAAAACTGAACCTCTGGTACCGTATTTTCTTGAGTATAGTGCGCACCCATGTATAATGCGCACCCCCCTTTAGCGGATTCAATATTTTGAAGAAAAAAAAAATTCGAATACCAAGCGCAGAAAAAAAATTACACCGTACCCCTTTAGCGAAGTCCGGCAAACGAACGGGTTATGAGAAACTTGGTCAGTACTAATTCGTAATTTGAGATAAAAAATCACACGACATGTTGATTTACCGTTTAAATTGTATTTTTTGTCCGCGAGAATTACATGTTGACATAGAATCGTCCAACAAAAACAAATATGACTTTAAACGAGTCACAGTATGGCATATATGATATATGTATCCATTCTCTGTCAACTTAAGTTCGTTTCAAAGCGTCAATAGCGGTAATCTGACCGTGGTTGCTGTTAATAACGGTGAGTTGTGCGATCTTCCGATCGCTTCACACACGATTTCGCCGAAATTAATTAAAACAATATTAAAAGGGATTTTGAATAAAATTAATAAACTTAGTTACAAACATAAGTCCAGATATACAAAGAACACTTTTTATAGCCAGACAGTGTAATTACATGACTAATTTGCGTACTTCAGTATGGATTTGTTAACATGGTATTTCAGGTGTTACGTGCTCGCGGTAATGTCTTTCCATGGGGGGAAAAACATTAGAACTCGTTAATTTGTGTATAGTGCGCACCCCCTTCTACACAGCTGTGTTTTTTAAAAAAAAGTGCGCACTATACTCAAGAAAATACGGTACTTCTGTGTGCATCACTAACCTCTGATACTTCTGTGTGCATCTCTAACCACTGGTACTTCTGTGTGCATCTCTAACCCCATGTTAATGAAAGACTCTGGCTCCATTCCTTGTTTCCAGGTATGGCTTCACCGTCTTGTCCAACCTGACTGTGTTCGGCATCGCGTGGCTGCTCCTGGCTCTCGGCTCGGATTCAGACACAACCAATCTATCCGCAGAGGATGCACCCAAATTTAGGGTAAGGTCTAGAACCTTTTACAATGCAATATTCTAGTGAGTGAGTGAGTGAGTGAGTGAGCTGGATTCAATAATTACGCTTTGAACAGTATTCCAATTATATCACAGCGAGACTTGACATGGAAGGAACACCTGACATGATGCATGACTCAGACGTTTACCACTTTGGTGAAACTGACAAGTAGGGATATGGTCCTGACAAACCTAGAAACATAATCTGGGTGAACCAGGATTTGAATAGCGATATAGATGACCAAGGGACACAACTCTGCACAGCGACTTGCGGCACCTTAGACCACTAGATGCAGGCATATATATATGTTATACATCAACTAGATGGCCCATATTGGTTCTGAATTTCAGTCATTATGTTCCAGGTTGCATGTGATCTTCAAGACCATGTTAAGGTTCAAAAGCAGAAAGTTATAAGGGACTGGTCATTTATTATTAGGGAAGGGTGGGGTGAGATTAAGAAATGAAAAAAGACAGTGAAAGGAGATGGTCGCGACAGTCACAATTATGTTGGGGTGGGGGCATGAAGAGATGTTACATAAAATTGGAGGGGTGTGTGTGACAGCAAAATACACATCAGTCCTTAGACCAATCTCCTGGACACGTATAAAGCCCATTATAAACACACATCATTATTTTACACATCATGATAAACTTTTCTGTTACAGTTAAAAAAAAAAGTACATACAATTATTTTTTAAAAATGTGCATATTTCCAGTTGAAAACTAACATTACTAAATCCCTTCATTACAGGCTCAGTAGCGTAGCGAGACTGCCTCCGTGGTCTAGTGGTAGAGCGTCCGCCTGGAGAGCGGAAGGCCCGGGGTTCGATCCCCGGCCACGTCATACCAAAAGACGTTAAAAGATGATACTTGTTGTTACCCTGTCTGGCGCTCGGCATTAAGGGGCTAAAGCAAGGACTGGTCGGCTCGGAGTCAGTATACTGTGTCTGAGTGGGGTATTCATGTTAAACTGCGGCATGGTATCTCAGTGAGCTAGCACTATAAATCGGCATCAGTCCGGACTAGTACAAGCAGCCACACAAACACATGCACGTACATGCACGTCGCTATATAAGTGCAATAATCTTGGACGCGACGTTAAACCTAATATCACCTCACCTCACCTCAGTAGTGTAGCTTGATGGAGGAGAAAACACCAAATAATGCAGATCTTAGATGTTTACCAGTTTGGTGAAACCCACAACATGATCTTGCAAACCTGGGATTTGAACCTACAAGCATAGGTTTCTTGCACACCTAAGTAGTAGAACTCTGCCAGGAAGAATTGGGAAACTTTCGACCACAGGCTTACCCATGAAACTTGTAATGGTTATCCCTGTTTTGTATTTTCAGAATCTGGTGTTTATTGTGATTGGTATTGGAGTGGTGTTCAGCTTTATTTTCCACATTGGGACCAAGGAAAACCGTGTGAACACAGTAGGCTTGGACCCGGAATTCTCACAAGGCCGAGATGCCCTTGATTCTGGCAGCTCCAAATACGCCGGATCCCTACAGAGGTCGTCAAAATCTAACAAGATGAAGACCACAGACTGGTTGAAAGAACCACAGTTTTTTCAGGTGTGTGTTGAATTTGTTAATGGCAGTGTTCTGTCGAGTAGTAGGATCTAAATTTAGTAACAGAGAAGTTATGTCCATTATCATGCTTTTGACTAAAATGTTTTTTTTTGTATTTATTGTAACAACCCATGATGTAGGGGTACCATTACATACAATCAACCAAGACCTTGACCCCTACCACCTGGTCCATAAGGCTGTGTTGTATGAGAAACAGGTTGCTGAGGACACGTTGAATGGCTTTGAAGGCACTGAGGATAAGGATGAACTAATGTAGTTTGTTAACTGCACTTACTGTCTGTAAGATGTTTCGAGTATGTGAGTGAGTGAGTTGGGTTTGAATCTCCCTTTTAACAGCATTCCAGTTATATCACAGCATGTCAGATTAATGTGGGAAGAAAGCCCCAAGTGATGCAGGTCTCAGACGTTTACCCCATTGGTTTAAACCCATGTGCACGGGTATGGTGTTGACAAAACTAGAAACATAATCGGGGGTACCGGGATTCAAACTAATAATACGTTTTTGGCATGCCCAAGGGACGCAACTCTGCACAGTGAATTGCCCACGCCTTATACAACGTGGCCAGCCATGCACAAGCAAGGTTTCTTGATTAGCAGAAATAATTAACTTGATCATATTTACAGTGTATGGAAATATGTGGTAGGTTCTTCAAGTGATGGTTTTGTTCATATTGATGTATTGTTTTTCAGGTTGGGGTGTTATACATGTGTACCAGACTGTATGTGAACCTGTCACAGGTCTATCTGCCTATGTATCTAGTGGAGACACTGCATCTCAACAAGGTATGTTGGTTGTATACATGGGTACCAGACTGTATGTGAACCTGTCACAGGTCTATCTACCTATGTATGTATGTAGTGGAGACACTGCAACTCAACAAGGTATGTTGGTTGTATACATGGGTACCAGACTGTATGTGAACCTGTCACAGGTCTATCTGCCTATGTATCTAGTGGAGACACTGCAACTCAACAAGGTATGTTGGTTGTATACATGGGTACCAGACTGTATGTGAACCTGTCACAGGTCTATCTACCTATGTATGTATGTAGTGGAGACACTGCAACTCAACAAGGTATGTTGGTTGTATACATGGGTACCAGACTGTATGTGAACCTGTCACAGGTCTATCTGCCTATGTATCTAGTGGAGACACTGCAACTCAACAAGGTATGTTGGTTGTATACATGTGTACCAGACTGTATGTGAACCTGTCACAGGTCTATCTACCTATGTATCTAGTGGAGACACTGCATCTCAACAAGGTATGTTGGTTGTATACATGTGTACCAGACTGTATGTGAACCTGTCACAGGTCTATCTACCTATGTATGTATCTAGTGGAGACACTGCATCTCAACAAGGTATGTTGGTTGTATACATGGGTACCAGACTGTATGTGAACCTGTCACAGGTCTATCTACCTATGTATGTATCTAGTGGAGACACTGCATCTCAACAAGGTATGTTGGTTGTATACATGTGTACCAGACTGTATGTGAACCTGTCACAGGTCTATCTACCTATGTATGTATCTAGTGGAGACACTGCATCTCAACAAGGTATGTTGGTTGTATACATGTGTACCAGACTGTATGTGAACCTGTCACAGGTCTATCTACCTATGTATGTATCTAGTGGAGACACTGCATCTCAACAAGGTATGTTGGTTGTATACATGGGTACCAGACTGTATGTGAACCTGTCACAGGTCTATCTACCTATGTATCTAGTGGAGACACTGCATCTCAACAAGGTATGTTGGTTGTATACATGTGTACCAGACTGTATGTGAACCTGTCACAGGTCTTTCTGCCTATGTATCTAGTGGAGAGACTGCAACTCAACAAGGTATGTTGGTTGTATACATGGGTACCAGACTGTATGTGAACCTGTCACAGGTCTATCTACCTATGTATCTAGTGGAGACACTGCATCTCAACAAGGTATGTTGGTTGTATACATGTGTACCAGACTGTATGTGAACCTGTCACAGGTCTTTCTGCCTATGTATCTAGTGGAGAGACTGCAACTCAACAAGGTATGTTGGTTGTATACATGGGTACCAGACTGTATGTGAACCTGTCACAGGTCTATCTACCTATGTATCTAGTGGAGACACTGCATCTCAACAAGGTATGTTGGTTGTATACATGTGTACCAGACTGTATGTGAACCTGTCACAGGTCTATCTACCTATGTATGTATCTAGTGGAGACACTGCATCTCAACAAGGTATGTTGGTTGTATACATGGGTACCAGACTGTATGTGAACCTGTCACAGGTCTATCTACCTATGTATCTAGTGGAGACACTGCATCTCAACAAGGTATGTTGGTTGTATACATGTGTACCAGACTGTATGTGAACCTGTCACAGGTCTTTCTGCCTATGTATCTAGTGGAGAGACTGCAACTCAACAAGGTATGTTGGTTGTATACATGGGTACCAGACTGTATGTGAACCTGTCACAGGTCTATCTACCTATGTATCTAGTGGAGACACTGCATCTCAACAAGGTATGTTGGTTGTATACATGTGTACCAGACTGTATGTGAACCTGTCACAGGTCTATCTACCTATGTATGTATCTAGTGGAGACACTGCATCTCAACAAGGTATGTTGGTTGTATACATGGGTACCAGACTGTATGTGAACCTGTCACAGGTCTATCTACCTATGTATCTAGTGGAGACACTGCATCTCAACAAGGTATGTTGGTTGTATACATGTGTACCAGACTGTATGTGAACCTGTCACAGGTCTTTCTGCCTATGTATCTAGTGGAGAGACTGCAACTCAACAAGGTATGTTGGTTGTATACATGTGTACCAGACTGTATGTGAACCTGTCACAGGTCTATCTACCTATGTATGTATCTAGTGGAGACACTGCATCTCAACAAGGTATGTTGGTTGTATACATGTGTACCAGACTGTATGTGAACCTGTCACAGGTCTATCTACCTATGTATGTATGTAGTGGAGACACTGCGTCTCAACAAGGTATGTTGGTTGTATACATGGGTACCAGACTGTATGTGAACCTGTCACAGGTCTATCTACCTATGTATCTAGTGGAGACACTGCATCTCAACAAGGTATGTTGGTTGTATACATGTGTACCAGACTGTATGTGAACCTGTCACAGGTCTATCTACCTATGTATCTAGTGGAGACACTGCAACTCAACAAGGTATGTGGGTTGTATACATGGGTACCAGAGAGTATGTGAACCTGTCACAGGTCTCTCTACCTATGTATGTATCTAGTGGAGACACTGCCTTTAGACAAGGTATGTTGGTTGTATACATGGGTACCAGAGGGTATGTGAACCTGTCACAGGTCTCTCTACCTATGTATGTATCTAGTGGAGACACTGCCTTTAGACAAGGTATGTTGGTTGTATACATGGGTACCAGATAGTATGTGAACCTGTCACAGGTCTATCTACCTATGTATGTATCTAGTGGAGACACTGCCTTTAGACAAGGTATGTTGGTTGTATACATGGGTACCAGATAGTATGTGAACCTGTCACAGGTCTTTCTACCACTCCAGTATATAATCAGGACTGCAAGAATTTTGTTTCTGCCTAAATTTATGATACAGTGATAGATGAATGCTTTTACGTCTTCACACATTTGCAACATGTTCTGCTTTATGTACAAATCATTCTTGTATGATTAGACATTGACGGATATTTGATATTTGTTTACCTTTCTTCAGACCAACATTGCCATTGTGCCTCTGATCGTGTATGTGTGTGGGTTCTTCACCTCACTCGTCATGAAGCCAGTCAACAAGCTGTTCGGGAGGAAGGTGAGTGCGGGCACAGCATACAGGATTGCAAGGCAATAGGTTACCATAGGTGAAACTGCAAGGCAATAGGTTACCATAGGTGAAACTGCAAGGCAATAGGTTACCATAGGTGAAACTGCAAGGCAATAGGTTACCATAGGTGCAACTGCAAGGCAATAGGTAACAAAAGGGTAAACTGCAAGACAATAGGTAACAAAAGGTTAAACAGCAAGACAATAGGCTACAAAAGGTTAAACAGCAAGACAATAGGTTACAAAAGGTGAAACTGTAAGACAATAGGTAACAAAAGGTGAAACAGCAAGACAATAGGTTACAAAAGGTGAAACAGCAAGGCAATAGGTAACAAAAGGTTAAACAGCAAGACAATAGGTAACAAAAGGTGAAACAGCAAGACAATAGGTTACAATAGGTGAAACTGTAAGACAATAGGTTACAATAGGTGAAACAGCAAGGCAGTAGGTTACAATAGGTGAAACAGCAAGACAATAGGTTACAAAAGGTGAAACAGCAAGGTAATAGGTTACAAAAGGTTAAACAGCAAGACAATAGGTTACAAAAGGTTAAACAGCAAGACAATAGGTTACAATAGGTGAAACTGTAAGACAAAAGGTTACAAAAGGTGAAACTGCAAGACAATAGGTTACAAAAGGTGAAACAGCAAGACAATAGGTTACAAAAGGTTAAACAGCAAGACAATAGGCTATAACAGGTGAAACTTTAAGACAATAGGTTACAGAAGGTTAAACAGCAAGACAATAGGCTATAACAGGTGAAACTGCAAGACAATAGGCTATAACAGGTGAAACTTTAAGACAATAGGTCACAATAGGTGAAACAGCAAGACAATAGGTTACAAAAGGTTAAACAGCAAGACAATAGGCTATAACGGGTGAAACTGTAAGACAATAGGCTATAACAGGTGAAACTGTAAGACAATAGGTTACAAAAGGTTAAACAGTAAGACAATAGGCTATAACAGGTGAAACTGTAAGACATTAGGCTATAACAGGTAAAACTGTAAGACAATAGGTTGCAATAGGTTAAACAGCAAGACAATAGGCTATAACAGGTGAAACTGTAAGACAATAGGCTATAACAGGTGAAACTGTAAGACAATAGGCTATAACAGGTGAAACTGTAAGACAATAGGTTGCAATAGGTTAAACTGCAAGACAATAGGTTACAAAAGGTTAAACTGCAAGACAATAGGTTACAAAAGGTTAAACAGCAAGACAATAGGCTATAACAGGTGAAACTGTAAGACAATAGGTTGCAATAGGTGAAACAGCAAGACAATAGGTTACAATAGGTTAAACTGTAAGACAGTAGGTTACCATAGGTTAAACTGCATGACAATAGGTTGCAATAGGTGAAACTGCAAAAGGTTAAACTGTAAGACAATAGGTTGCAATAGGTGAAACAGCAAGACAATTGGTTACAATAGGTTAAACTGTAAGACAATAGGTTACAATAGGTTAAACTGCATGACAATAGGTTGCAATAGGTGAAACTGCAATAGGTGAAACAGCAAGACAATAGGTTACAAAAGTTGAAACTGCAAGGCAGTAGGTTGCAATAGGTGAAACAGCAAGACAATAGGTTACAAAAGGTGAAACTGCAAGGCAATAGGTTACAATAGGTGAAACTGCAAGACAATAGGTGACAATAGGTTAAAAAGCAAGACAATAGGTTACCATAGGTGAAACTGCAAGACAATAGGCTATAACAGGTGAAACAGCAAGACAATAGGTTACAATAGGCGAAACAGCAAGACAATAGGTTACAAAAGGTGAAACTGCAAAACAATAGGTTACAAAAGGTTAAACTGCAAGGCAGTAGGTTACAATAGGTGAAACTTCAAGACAATAGGTTACAATAGGTGAAACTGCAAGGCAATAGGTTACAAAAGGTGAAACTGCAAGACAATAGGTTACAAAAGGTTAAACTGCAAGGCAATAGGTTACAATAGGTGAAACTTCAAGACAATAGGTTACAATAGGTGAAACTGCAAGGCAATAGGTTACAAAAGGTGAAACTGCAGGCAATAGGTTATGTGTATGTTAAAGCATGTCTGAAGGTTTTTGTAATGTCTGAAACCCACATCCACAGGAAAAACCTGAGAGGAAGTCTTTTATCTAACTTATGAAATGAAAAAAGATACTTAAGACAGTCTAAAGCAATGCCCACAACCGCGTGCGACATACGCTTGCAGTCGGAAAGCGCACGTTAAATCTCCAATATAAGTAAGTAAGTAAGTAACGCCTGCAAAATATATCCGGCCAGATTGTTCCCTTGCTGGGTTTGATGCTGACGAACCTAGCAACATAATCTGGGTGAACTGGGATTTGTACCCAGGATCACAGGTTGCTGGCTTGATTATAGGATAAAACTCCATCAAATTGTGCTGCCTTAGACCACTGGGTTACCCATGTCATCTAGTGGCTTCTGCTCTGACCTTCATTGTCATGAAGTGACTGTGGTTATGCCATGAAGTGACTTCATCCCTTTTCTGTGCAGGTGACTTACATCATCGGGGTCGTGTTTGCTGTGGGGTCATGTGTGTGGATCCACTTCATCACCAGCACCAGCACCATGCAGGTGTTTGGAGCCGCTGTCCTCATGGGAATTGGAGGCACAACTATGCTGATTACCTCCCTTGCAATGACCGCTGACCTCATTGGAGACAACACTGTAAGATTTACCAACACTTGCCTTAAACAGAGATTTCAGATTTCTTATGTTATGGAAAGGGTTTCTTGCTTTTCATTTAACTTGTAATATATTACGTAATCATACATTGACATTTTTCTATAGTATTGGTTGAATTAAGTATTGATTAAAATATTAATTGAAATATAACTGAGACACTTGAAGTATCAAAACTTGACTTCTGGTTTCACGTTGAGTATCATGCATATATTAAAGGATTCATTAAAGTCATACAGAAAGAATTCAGTGGGTCAAAGGTCAACTGAACTAGCTAAGACTCACAGAACTCGGTGAATACCAGTGAATGGATTTGAACGAAAATATTTTGAAGGAAACCCATTGTTAGATGCAGGTCAAGTTCAAGGTCATTGGTCAATATTGGGGTGGTCAAAAATGATTACTTGATAGGTGTTTGTGCCACAGGAAGAATGTAAAGATCTGTAAAACCGGTTCATTTGTTTGTCCAGCTATGTTTGGTAGCCCGATCACATAATTTTGCTTCCTTATACAGTTAGTTATGTGACACACATTTCAAGATCATGACAGCGATATATGTCTAGGATTTATGCAGACTTCACTGAAGTAGAGTTTGTATGTGTGATACCTGCATTAGGCCAGTAAATAGGGATCTGTAAAGAAAAAAAGGTACGGAAGCTGAAAAAGCTATATGGGGTAGTTTTGCATAGTGATGTTATTCTATCAGGATTTTGAAATGTTTCATGCATATTTGTCCGAAACCAACTCAAAATCAATTAGGTTATGGTGATTTATTTGGGGTATTTTATACAGATATTCAGCCGATCCTGAACACTGGGCTTTGTAAATAGTTGTTTTGCTGTTTGTCCTGCAGCATGTTTACAAACACGTCGTGTTGACGTGAGAGTATTGTAACAACTGACTGGTATCATGGGTAAAGTTCTACGTCGAACAATCTCCAGAATGATTTGGGTAAAGTAATAGCTGTGATGTTGTCATGTTTACAGGAGAGTGGAGCGTTCGTGTACGGTGCTATGAGTTTTACTGACAAGTTGTCCAATGGGGTTGCCGTGGAGATTATACAGCTGTTGCATCCTTGTGTGTAAGTACTTCATAAAGGATTACAGCATGTACACACTTATACAATGTGTGTAGATTGTAGTGACCCTGTTTGTGTTTTGCTGTCCTTTTTTGGAAGAGTGTGGCCTTGTTATATTGTAATGTAAAGCCTACAGACTTTAGCTCACCGGGGAAATGTCCACGTAAGCTTGTCTCCTGGGTTTATGTGTGTCCATCCACGGGTCTGGTAGCACTCATCTTCTCAACTGTTTTAAGTCTCCTGTTCACGCAGCATGCTATACAAATCACTGGTGATTTTTTTAAAAGAAATTCAAAATTGCTAACAAAACAGTGAGTTTTAGTTAAAAATACAAATTTCATGACCTCTTACACTCCCTAATAAATGGACATTCATTGTGAGAAGATGTAGACAAGACACATTTCTACATCAAGGCTGGATTTATATTCAAAGATCTTGACAATTATGAACATACCGTTAGGTTAAGTGATAAAGCTCGTGGGGGATTCTGGGTGAGCATCGTATGCTGGTTCTAAGAGGCAACTTCTGGATTACGTGGGCAGGTTCAGTGACTTTGCTGGAAGCGTTCACTGTACTTTCACGATGTGCAGCATTGATAATGATAGCAACCACTGGATTGTCTCGTCCATACTTGTTTATTTACAGACCATAAACATATAGCTGGAATATCGCTGAGTGTGGCATCAAACAAACAAACAAACCAACAAACAATCCAACATAATGATGAAGTTGTCTTTGCATTCTTTAGTTTCCATGCACCATGTATGCTAAAATTGTAAGTATGTCTCTGGATGGTGGCAATTTTAAGCCTTTGTATAGTATGTGGAACGGTACTCTATATCATAGGAGTGTTGCCTGTACAAGCATCTTGCTATCTTTCCCTGCTTCACATTCATGAAACTCTTATTCTCCTATTTGAATAGCCTGTTTTAACTCTCTATCATTTTAAGTGTCTCGAAAACAGTTAAATGATTTAGGGTACTGTACAGGATTACCTATAGAATTCCTGAAAGTATAAATGTTAAAAGTATTTTGAAGTGGGTGTGCGCACCATCGCATCGATGGATCTGCCACATATTACCATGCAAAGATGTGTCTCTGCATCTGGCCTCAAGGGATGGCTGCATCAAGAGAGAAGTACCCACATTGAACGTCATGTCAGTGCTGCTGGCTTTGCACTGTTTCAACAAGTGTTTTGTTAGCATTGAATTCAGAAATATACTGGTTACAAACAATATTCGGGGCGGTCTGGTAGCCTAGTGGTTAAAGCGTTTGCTTGTCACGCCGAAGACCCGGGTTCGATTCCCCACATGGGTACAATGTGTGAAGCCTGTTTGTGGTGTCCCCCGCCGTGATATTGCTGGAATATTGCTAAAAGCGGCGTGAAACCATACTTACTCACTTACAAACAATATTCAAGAAAAAGATATCGAGTTGAAATATTTTCCATCAGAATACCTGCAAAAGTAAGATGTATGCTGTGCCTTCCTATCTCCCACCTCAGAAACTTCGTCTTATTGATGAGATCACTCCGATACAGCTATGTTTTCTTTCATGAACTTACGGAGATGATTATTCCATATATGATACATGTTCAGCTCAAATATAATAAAAATCTTTGGGGAAACTTTTGTCTATCACTCTGAATGCTGTACATCGCCGTGAATAGCTGGAAAATTGCTGATGCGGCGTAAAACAATATTCATTCATTCATCCATTCATTGAATGCTGTACTAATGGTTCGCTCTGTTGTCTGGCCACTTGAATATCCGTCTTCTGCATTGGTTCTTGTCAAAGCTTTCTCTTTTCTCTTGCTTTCTGCTTATTATCACAATCTGGTATTGGTTTCTTCTTTTAATCGCAATCACATTTTATCTAAATTTGTATAGAAAAACCTAGAGTTCCCCAAACAATGATTTAGGGTTACACTTCCCACACACATATTGCTTGTTTGCCCCATTGGGTAGGAAGGCTAGGTATTGTGGGGTGAGGTGGTGTAGTGATTAGGGTGAGGTAGGGCAGTGATGGGGTGCGGTGGTGTAGTGATTAGGGTGAGGTGGTGTAGTGATTGGGTTGAGGTGAGGTAGTTGTAGGGGTGAGGTGGGGCAGTGACTTGGGTGAGGTGATGTAGTGATTGGGGTGAGGTGGTGCTGTGATGGGGTGCTGTGATGGGGTGAGATCGGGCAGTGACTGGGGTGAGATGGGGCAGTGATAGGGTGCGGTGGTGTAGTGATTGGGGTGAGGTGGTGTAGTGATTAGGGTGAGGTAGGGCAGTGATGGGGTGAGGTGGGGCAGTGACTGGGGTGAGGTGGTGTAGTGACTGGGGTGAGGTGGTGCTGTGATGGGGTGCTGTGATGGGGTGAGATCGGGCAGTGACTGGGGTGAGATGGGGCAGTGATAGGGTGCGGTGGTGTAGTGATTGGGGTGAGGTGGTGTAGTGATTGGGTTGAGGTGAGGTAGTTGTTTGGGTGAGGTGGGGCAGTGACTTGGGTGAGGTGATGTAGTGATTGGGGTGAGGTGGGGCAGTGACTTGGGTGAGGTGATGTAGTGATTGGGGTGAGGAGGGGTAGTGACTATGATGAGATGGTGCAGTGATGGGGTGAGGTGGTGTAGTGTTTTTGGTGAGGTGAGGCAGTGATTAGGGTGAGGTGGGGTAGTGACTCTGATGAGGTGGTGCTGTGATGGGGTGAGATCGGGCAGTGACTGGGGTGAGATGGGGCAGTGATAGGGTGCGGTGGTGTAGTGATTGGGGTGAGGTGGTGTAGTGATTGGGTTGAGGTGAGGTAGTTGTTGGGGTGAGGTGGGGCAGTGACTTGGGTGAGGTGTTGTAGTGATTGGGGTGAGGTGGGGTAGTGACTATGATGAGATGGTGCAGTGATGGGGTGAGGTGGTGTAGTGTTTTTGGTGAGGTGAGGTAGTGATTAGGGTGAGGTGGGGTAGTGACTCTGATGAGGTGGTGCAGTGATGGGGTGAGGTGGTGTAGTGATTGGGGTGAGATGGGGCAGTGACTGGGATGAGGTGAGGCAGTGTCTGGGGTGAGGTGGTGCAGTGACTGGGGTGAGGTGGTGTAGTGATTGGGGTAAGGTGGGGCAGTGACTGGGATGAGGTGAGGCAGTGTCTGGGGTGAGGTGGTGCAGTGATTGGGGTGAGGTGGGGCAGTGACTTTGATGAGGTGAGGCAGTGTCTGGGGTGAAGTCATGCAGTGATTGGGGTGAGGTGGGGCAGTGACTTTGATGAGGTGGTGTAGTGTCTGGGGTGAGGTGGTGTTGTAATTGGTTGAGGTGGGGCAGTGATGATGGGGTGAGGTGGCGTAGTGATTGGGGTGAGGTGGTGAATTGATGGGTTAAGGTGGTGTAGTGTCTGGGGTTAGATGGGGCAGTGACTGGGGTGAGGTGAGGCAGTGTCTGGGGTGAGGTGATGTAGTGATTGGGGTAAGGTGGGGCAGTGACTGGGATGAGGTGAGGCAGTGTCTGGGTTGAGGTGATGTAGTGATTGGGGTAAGGTGGGGCAGTGACTGGGATGAGGTGAGGCAGTGTCTGGGGTGAGGTGGTGCAGTGATTGGGTTGAGGTGGGGCAGTGACTTTGATGAGGTGAGGCAGTGTCTGGGGTGAAGTCATGCAGTGATTGGGGTGAGGTGGGGCAGTGACTTTGATGAGGTGGTGTAGTGTCTGGGGTGAGGTGGTGTAGTAATTGGTTGAGGTGGGGCAGTGATGATGGGGTGAGGTGGCGTAGTGATTGGGGTGAGGTGGTGAATTGATGGGTTGAGGTGGTGTAGTGATTGGGGTTAGGTGGGGCAGTGATCGGGTAAGGTGGTGCAGTGATTTGGGTGAGGTGGTATAGTGATTGGGGTGAGGTGGTGTAGTGATTGGGTTGAGGTGAGGTAGTTGTTGGGGTGAGGTGGGGCAGTGACTTGGGTGAGGTGATGTAGTGATTGGGGTGAGATGGGGTAGTGACTATGATGAGATGGTGCAGTGATGGGGTGAGGTGGTGTAGTGTTTTTGGTGAGGTGAGGCGGTGATTTGGGTGAGGTGGGGTATTGATGGGGTGAGGTGGTGTAGTGATTGGGGTTAGGTGGGGCAGTGATGGGGTGAGATGGGGCAGTGACTGGGGTGAGGTGGTGTAGTAATGAGTTGAGGTGGGGCAGTGTCTGGGGTGAGGTGGTGTAGTGATTGGGGTGAGGTGGTGTATTGATTGGGTGAGGTGGTGTAGTGATTGGGGTTAGGTGGGGCAGTGATGGGGTAAGGTGGTGCAGTGATTTGGGTGAGGTGGTGTAGTGATTGCGGTGAGGTGGTGTAGTGATTGGGGAGAGGTGGTGTAGTGATTCGGGTGAGGTGGTGCTGTGATTGGGTTGAGGTGAGGTAGTTGTTGGGGTGAGGTGGGGCAGTGACTAGGGTGAGGTGATGTAGTGATTGGGGTGAGGTGGGGTAGTGACTATGATGAGATGGTGCAGTGATGGGGTGAGGTGATGTAGTGTTTTTGGTGAGGTGAGGCATTGATTGGGGTGAGGTGGGGTAGTGACTCTGATGAGGTGGTGCAGTGATGGGGTGAGGTGGTGTAGTGATTGGGGTTTTGGTGAGGTAGTTGTTGGGATGAGGTGGGGCAGTGACTGGGATGAGGTGAGGCAGTGTCTGGGGTGAGGTGGTGCAATGTCTGGGGTGAGATGGGGCAGTGACTGGGAAGAGGTGAGGCAGTGTCTGGGGTGAGGTGGTGCAGTGATTGGGGTGAGGTGGGGCAGTGACTTTGATGAGGTGGTGTAGTGTCTGGGGTGAGATGGGGCAGTGACTTTGATGAGATGGTGTAGTGTCTGGGGTGAGGTGGTGTAGTGATGGGGTGAGGTGGTGTAGTAATGGGTTGAGGTGGGGCAGTGATGGGGTAAGGTTGTGTAGTGATTGGGGTGAGGTGGTGTAGTGATGGGATGAGGTGGTGTAGTGATTGGGGTGAGGTGGTGAATTGAGGGGGTCAGGTGGTGTAGTGATTGGGGTTAGGTGGTGCAGTGATGGGGTAAGGTGGGGCAGTGATTTGGGTGAGGTGGTGTAGTGATTTGGGTGAGGTGGTGTAGTGATTGGGGAGAGGTGGTGTAGTGATTTGGGTGAGGTGGTGTAGTGATTGGGTTGAGGTGAGGTAGTTGTCGGGGTGAGGTGGGGCAGTGACTTGGGTGAGGTGGTGTAGTGATTGGGGTGAGGTGGGGTAGTGACTATGAAGAGATGGTGCAGTGATGGGGTGAGTAGGTGTAGTGTTTTTGGTGATGTGAGGCAGTGATTGGGGTGAGGTGGGGTAGTGACTCTGATGAGGTGGTGTAGTGATGGGGTGAGGTGGTGTAGTGATTGGGGTTTTGGTGAGGTAGTTGTTTGGATGAGGTGGGGCAGTGACTGGGGTAAGGTGATGTTGTGATTGGGGTAAGGTGGGGCAGTGACTGGGATGAGGTGAGGCAGTGTCTGGGGTGAGGTGATGTTGTGATTGGGGTAAGGTGGGGCAGTGACTGGGATGAGGTGAGGCAGTGTCTGGGGTGAGGTGATGTAGTGATTGGGGTAAGGTGGGGCAGTGACTGGGATGAGGTGGGGCAGTGACTGGGATGAGGTGGTGTAGTGTCTGGGGTGAGATGGGGCAGTGACTGGGGTGAGATGGGGCAGTGATTGGGGTAAGGTGGGGCAGTGTCTGGGGTGAGGTGATGTTTTGATTGGGGTAAGGTGGGGCAGTGGCTGGGATGAGGTGAGGCAGTGTCTGGGGTGAGGTGGTGCAGTGATTGAGGTGAGGTGGGGCAGTGACTTTGATGAGGTGGTGTAGTGTCTGGGGTGAGGTGGGGCAGTGACTGGGGTGAGATGGGGCAGTGTCTGGGGTGAGGTGATGTAGTGATTGGGGTAAGGTGGGGCAGTGACTGGGGTAAGGTGGGGCAGTGACTGGGATGAGGTGAGGCAGTGTCTGGGGTGAGGTGGGGCAGTGACTTTGATGAGGTGGTGTAGTGTCTGGGGTGAGATGGGGCAGTGACTGGGGTGAGATGGGGCAGTGATTGGGGTAAGGTGGGGCAGTGACTGGGGTAAGGTGGGGCAGTGACTGGGATGAGGTGAGGCAGTGTCTGGGGTGAGGTGGGGCAGTGACTTTGATGAGGTGGTGTAGTGTCTGGGGTGAGGTGGGGCAGTGACTGGCGGGGAACGAATGTGTTTGATGGGACACGATTGGATAGAGAGTGACGGAAAAGGAAAAATGGTCAAACTTGTAAAAAGAGCAACCCCAATAGTACTTTAAGTAGAGTCATATATATACTCTTAATAAAAGTGGGGGATACTCCACAAAAAGTAACTTAAAATTTTCAAAATTGTAAGAGATATTAGTTTCTAGTTATAGTTGTATGATAATAATGAATGAATTGGAAATACAATACAACCCATAGTGCAGTATGACCTTAGATGACGATCTTGAAGGACGATAGGGGTTAAAGATAGGAACTTTCAAGGTTGACGTTTGTTGTGATGGGAAGCACTTGGCATGTAGCCAGACTACATCCTGAATAGGATGCTTGTCAAATCTCATGCATGATAAAGGTGTATTAACTTGACTGCTCCACATATGGTTATCTCTTTAGGTCACCGGGATCAATAGTCTGTGTGACGCCGCATCATCTTATCATACACGTTGTTTGTTGTTACTTATAGTTTCCACAATATGTCTGTCGCTAAAGGACGTGGTGACTCGGCATGATTGACATCTGTAAATGTGTCATGAAAACGTCCTCAGATATCAATTTTTTTGTTTGATATTCTAAATACCGGTATTATGTGTAAAGATGTTATGAGTTAAGCATATGATGATGATGATGATGATGATGATGATGATGATTTATTATGATAGGTGACTCCACACCATGAAGGTGTTTGCTCAAGTCACTGAAAGTACCCCAAGGTCAGGAATCAAACCAGGGTCTTCAGCGTGACGAGTGAATGCTTTAACCACTAGGCTACTGAATCTGTTATTAGGTTGATAGTATTATACATGTATGCAATACCATCAGGCCAGCTATTGGTCACTTTACATGTCAGCAGTGAATAATGAATTAAACAGTCCTAGTACAATGTTAATTTGGTTCATTATCCTGCAATGAACATGCAATGAACCTTTTCTCAGTTGAATCATTATGCCCTTTCAAATCTACCCTCAATAAACAGGATTTTACATTGGTCTAAGATCCAAGCAAATGTTCACATGTAGTGTCCTAATTGGATCTCATATAAAACAATATTGAAAATCTCGCCTTTGCTCATTGCTCAGTCCTGTTGAATGTCAGGTTGTGTAAGTGTTGACCTATGTATCATTGTGTGAGTGAGTGAGTGAGTGAGTTGGGTTTTACGCCGCTTTTAACAGTATTCCAGTTATATCACGGCGTGTCAGCTTAATGTGGGAGGAAAGCCCGAAGTGATGCAGGTCTCAGACGTTTACCACTTCGGTGAAACCCACGAGCACGGGTATGGTGCTGACAAACCTAGAAACATAATCGGGGTGAACCGGGATTCGAACCCACAATCATAGGTTTCTGGCGTGCCCAAGGGACGCAACTCTGCACAGCGAATCGCGGTGCCTTAGACGACTGGGCCACCCGTGCCCCCTATCATTGTGTGAATAAAGACAAGTGTCTCTGCTTATATGTTACAATGGTTTTAGTTGTCACCATGTGTAACAATGTGTTTGACTGTCAACATATGTTACAATGGTTTTAGATGTTACAATGGTTTTAGTTGTCACCATGTGTAACAATGTGTTTGACTGTCAACATATGTTACAATGGTTTTAGATGTTACAATGGTTTTAGTTGTCACCATGTGTAACAATGTGTTTGACTGTCAACATATGTTACAATGGTTTTAGATGTTACAATGGTTTTAGTTGTCACCATGTGTAACAATGTGTTTGACTGTCAACATATGTTACAATGGTTTTAGTAGTCACCATGTGTAACAATGTGTTTGACTGTCAACATATGTTACAATGGTTTTAGTTGTCAGCGTGTAACAATGTGTTTGACTGTCAAGACATCTTACAATGTTTTTAATTGTCAACATGTGTAACAATGTGTTTGATTATCAACATAGTTATTATGTTGCAGTGTGTTTCACTGCCAACATGTGTGATAAAGAGACTGCACAAGACATGTTGTTGATCCTTGCAGAGACTGCTGCCCACTGTGTGTACCTTTCTACCGCCTGGTCCAGTCCATCGTGCCAGGCGGCTTCGCCATACTAGGATTTGTGACTTTATTGACGCTCCTACCCCAAACACTTGGCTCTCGGTGGAGAGATAAAGGTATGAGGCATTCTAACCTTGAATCTATTGCAGGAACCCTGTATACACCTACTGTAACCCTATTCCTTGGCCAGTCCGAAGCGCCTACCCATAGGCCCGTGGCAGGTAGATCTCTTGTCGGGTCCATAGTTTCAAATTTCTACAGGTCCTTTTGGCCTGCAGTTTTCGTGTTTGTATGAATAAGCTGCAGTTTTTTTAAAATGAGGTCCCAAAGAGTTAAGTAAGAGCCTGCATCTTCTAAAATCTTCGGGTCCTGATGACAGCCTGGCAGTTTTTTATTTCTGAATAAAACACTGGGCTGGTGAGAGTCTCCTAGGCCAGTCACAGAGGCTGATGAGATCTAGGAATCCGATGGGCAGATATATTTACCTTGTATAGAGCTCTTATGTCATGTTCCTCTGTACATGAAAGGTTTTTGTCTTGTAATATTCACTTATTGAATCCATATGTTTCTGATTTTTACTGAAGTGATTACTTATTTTATTACTAATGTAGTACATATACTACTAAAAAGAAATTAAGGACCACCCCATTCTTTCATATTACTATAGCCTATCTGTCTGTCATGACAGATTAGCTATACTAATATGAAAGATCCTTAACTTCTTTTGAGTAGTATATATGTAGCGTAAGCTGATGTGCAGGAATCGTTTCATAGATGATTGAATGCTTATATGTATATATTTATCCAACCTTTTTTCCAGTGGACATAACGGTATCCTCAGGTTTGCAAAATGGAACAATTCCTGCTTCTTATGATGATGACGATGAAAAGTCCCCCCTTCTCAGGAAGAGCATCAATCCACCGTCAGGAGTTACAGGGAGACCTACGTCCAACTCACCCCACACAACTGCCGCACTTCACACGTCCATGAACTCGCCGCCGGTAGACGTGGATCCCATTTGGTAGATTTCTTTCTTCTAGCTCAGACACTGCTGTGACAACATATGTCTCAGGTGTAGGCTTACATGACTACAGTCAGTGGTAGGCTTCAAACAACATCACATTACCTTGTTCATCCTTGCCCACGTGGTATCTAGTTATTTTGATGTTCCACAACATCCCATCACTGTATGTAAGGGGAACAACTCTTTGTGATTCAAGTGAACCTGTGACTTCCTGAAGGGGAAACAACTCTTGTTTCCCATACAAGTAAACCTGTGGCTTCCTGTTGGGGGAACAACTCTTGTTAAACATACAAGTGAACCTGTGACTTCCTGAAGGGGAAACAACTCTTGTTTCCCATACAAGTAAACCTGTGACTTCCTGTTGGGGGAACAACTCTTGTTTTACATACAAGTGAACCTATGACTTCTTGTAGGGGGAAAAACTCTTGTTTTACTTACAACTGAACCTGTGACTTTCTATAGGGGTGAACATCTCTTGTTTTACATACAAGTGAACCTATGACTTCTTGTAGGGGGAAAAACTCTTGTTTTACATACAACTGAACCTGTGACTTTCTATAGGGGTGAACATCTCTTGTTTTACATACAAGTGAACCTGTGACTTCCTGTAGGGGAAACAACTCTTGTTTTACATACAAGTGAACCTGTGACTTCTTGTAGGGGAAACAACTCTTGTTTAACATACAAGTGAACCTGTGACTTCCTGTAAGGGGAACAACTCTTGTTTTACATACAAGTGAACCTATGGCTTCCTGTAGGGGAAACAACTCAGGCTACTTATATCATAAATGTGAAATGCATTTCATTATTATGTGAAACATTTGAAGCAACTTTTACATGTACATATTGAAGGAGTTTGATGTGAGTTAGCCACGTTGGTCTGCTGTACTTCTGATAGTGCCAATAGTCTCCTGCATGTATAGCTGGTCTGAACAATGCAATTATATACTGGTGATAAGTGGAACACAAACTACAAACAGGGGTTGACACGTCAACACAACTTGGTACTTAAACTATTTGTGTGTGAATTATGAATATGAATTGACTTTGATGTTTATAAAACGTTAATTGTTATGCTTACTGTTTAACAGAGCTTGCGGTGCATTTTGCTCATGTCAGGAAGTGTTGTTCAAAAGATTTATCCCTTTTGTCAAGTTTTCCTAAAATAAGAATCGAGACTCAAGTAATGTACAAGAACATATATGCATGTATTGATTTCAATGTATGCCCCTATATGCTTCATTTGTTAAGTATGATTATAACCAAGGGCCTGTCTTGGACTAGATTGACGGCCTCAAAAATGGTGAACATATCAACAATTTACTGGCGAGTCTTCCAGGGTTTAGCTCATCAGACTGAAACCAAAGTGAGTTTATGTTGTGGCTTGTTGTCACTTTTCAGTCCGTCCGGTTCTTCATTTGGTTAACCGTGGTTAATTTTTTAATTTTGACCACTCCTCTGAAACTACAAGGCCTTAGTGGGCTGATTCTCATGTAATTGATCCAAGCTATGGTGTCTCCAAAACCTGCACACATAATTCTAATCAGATTTTAAATATCAGATTCTAATGTAATTTCGGGCCATAACTCGGAATAACTCTGGTTTTCGGAATAACATAAGATATCTTTTGGGGCATTTTTCTATTTATTATCCAGCTATGATCCAGCTGCAACCCTACGCTTCTGCCTCTGGCTTCTGTTACTGCATCTCACTATTAATCTGACATCGCTTTTTTTCAAATTGTAAATGACATTTGGCCCAGGTGTGGTTAGTTGTGGGGCCAACATGTTTGTTCCATTATTGGCAATGTTATGAACTTTGACCTTGATTATAAACTTTGCAGCACAGTGAAATTTCTGTCATGGGCAACAAACATCAAATAGGTGCAAAACTGGAAAACCATCCCTTCAGACCGAACTGCACACTTGCCTACTACCATGTTTTATGAAACCAGCTTCATACATTGTCAGTTACCTCTTGGCTGGTCAAGACCGTCTCCGTTTTATGCATCCGTTTACTACATCTATGTACCCCAATAAAGGTCCAGGTTAGAATTGCCGATAACAGGAGAGGCGGCTAACAGGATCGGGTGATCAGACTTGCTGACATGGTTGATGCAGGTCATCATATCCAAGTCACTTGGTTGTGTCTGGTCTGGACTCGAATATTTACAGGCTGCCGTAGACCTGGAATATTGCTTATTATGGCATTAAACAGGTTTGCTTGTAACACATTTGCCTGCAGAATCTTACAGTTACCCCCTGTGTTTGACTGTTATTAAGATATATCGCATTTATTAGTGCTGTAACAATTCACTGATACCTACGATATCATTGATACTTAGGTTCACACGATACTTGAATCCTCAGTTTGTGATGTCATGATATGCTATGAATAGAACAGGAACTAATAGAGTTACCACCCATAATGGCAGAAGTAGCATAGCACCACCTTTAAACATGGCAGATCACAAGGACAAGGTAGCTGAGGACACGCCCACTAACTGTTACATTTAATAACAATCCCTTCATTTAAATCTGTTTTGTTCTTGTGGTTTTCTTTGTTAAAGTTTTTGAGATAACAATAATTGAATGTATGAAGAAAGAGGTTTTAGAGCTGTATTTCAGTGATTTCATCATTCTTATATTTGATGTGGTGTATTGTGATACCAGTAGTATCATCAGTCTGTATCGTGATACGAATCGTATTGAAGATACCAGGCAATACTCAGTTCTAGCATTCATACATCATGGTGATCATAGAGCCCCGTGTTCATAGAACTGCACATTTGATTAGGTTCCCATGTATATTCATTCCTTTTGTTATCCCCCGCCCAACGAAGTTGGCGGGGGATATAGAAATGGGCTCCGTCCGTCCGTCCGTCACATTTCGTTTCCGGAGCAATATTCTGAAACCGTTCAATATTTTTTCATGAAACTTTGCAGGTCTGTTGAGTACATGCTGAACTGGTGCCTTTTGCTATTTAGAAATTTTAGAAATTTATATTTTTTATGTTTTGATGGCAACAAGATGGATGTAGGTTCTGTGAGGGTAGGGTTGGTTTCCGGAGCATAACTCATAAAACGTTCAATATTTTTTCATGAAACTTTGCAGGTAAGTCAGGTACATGCTGAACTGGTGCCTTTCGCTATTTAAAATTTTTGGAATTTTAATTTTTTTATTTTTCCATTGCAACAAGTTGAACTTTTAGAAATTTATCAATTCTTTTTTTAGATGCTAAAAACTCAATCAGTATAGGATTGTTATCACTGGGGACTTCAATATGACCCAGTCTGTCCGTGACAACAATGGAGTAGTTTACATTCACCCAGTATATGAGCAAACCAACCCGCACCCTTGGGGGTACACTAGACTTGATCTTCTGTAATGAGCCCATCTCAACTAGAGTCTTTCCAGTTCCATACACTGACCATCATCTTGTGTGGGGTGTGACGGAATAGGTGCAGTATATGGAAGTGACTATCATTATTTCTTTGCATGTTATTCAATGTGGTAATGAACTGAACTTTTTTAATCTTAATATTTTGCATTTAATCTACTATGTCCAAAGAAACATCTTGGGTTTGACCATAGTCACATATCACAAACTAATACCACTTATGTTTCTTAACAAATATTCCATGTAGATATTATTATGAGTCAAAATGTGACTTGTAATGTTTTTTCTTTCTCCCACCCTCATGAATTCAGTAGTAAATGCAGTAACTGGTTTTGTCAGTTTGTACTTCCATCATGTTTTTGTGGAGAAGTTTCATTTGTTTCTTGAACTTCATAGAAATTGTGTTTTGCAGCATTATGTTTTGTTTCTTCAGGTTATTTTGCATTTACATCAAGTAGATGCTCCCCTTCTGCCTTTAAATCCTTACAAAATTTGAATATTTTCAAATGTATGTATTTGTGTGATCAAATTTCACTGTTGTTGACATGATATATACACTTCATTTGCTGGGCAGGAGACTTGGCCACGATAGTGGCAAACTCTTCTTTTTTTTACAATTTCCATGACAAGTTCCACCTCGGTTAAAAAAGGTTAGGGTTTGTTTAGATTTAATTATGTCATAAATTCTGCAATAGGGGTGGGGATATAGCCACTTAGTGGCAAAATCTTGTTATAAATGAAGCCCTTTTTATTGCATGAGACCCACATACAGCCGAAGCAGCAGCAGGCTGAGTGATGCATGAGTATCTCAATGTTCATTTCAGACAAATGAAAACTGTAAGTGATTCATCATATACAGGACTATTGCAAATAATTTATGTGGATCCATTGTTTGTACTCTCAGCCAATTGGAGAATGTTTGCTGTAAAAGGCGACTATGCTTGTCGTAAGAGGCCACTATCGGGATCGGGTGGTCGGCTCGCTGACTTGGTTGAGGCATGTCATTGTATCCCAATTGCGAGGATCGATGCTCATGATGTCAATTACTGGATTGTCTGGTCCAGACTCCATTATTTACAGACCGCGGTCATATAGTTGGAATATTGCTAAGTGCGGCGTTAAACAACAAACCAAACCAAACCAATTGAAGCAACAATAAAAGAAATGAATGTATTTTTCTGAACATTTCGTTGCTTGCTAGTGTCAGCATACCTGGAAACTACAGTAACATAGGGTTAGGAACATGTCAACTCCTTTATCATGAGGAACACAACGTGTCCGAGTATATTCTTACTCCTTCATCAGGTGAGAAAATGCTATGAAGCAGGGAACATAAATATTAAATATGTGTAGAAAAAACCTCATTTAGATATAAAATACTCAATGACAACCTTAGCAATTCTACCTTACTTTATTGAGCAGATTTACTTTGTCCACAGCAGTGTTGAATGTTTTATGTAATCTTGTTGTTGTGAAAATTCTTGATCATATCAGTCAGTATTTCTGTGATACATCTGACTTGGTGATATTTATTATAGTGATATCAGCCTTTAACTGTGATCGACCACACTATGTATACCACTCAAAACAAGTTAAAGAACGCACACAATTGGAGTGAGTGAGTGAGTGAGTATGGTTTTATGCCGCTTTTAGCAATATTCCAGCAATATCATGGCGGGGGACACCAGAAATGGGCTTCACACATTGTACCAATGTGGGGAATCGAACCCGGGTCTTTGGCATGACGAGCGGAAGCTTTAACCACTGGGCTGCCCAACCACGCGCCCCCCCCCCCCCCCCCCCCCACACACACACACACACAATTTGAAGTCTGTGTTGCAATACCTGTCAGCCATGACAGATTAACTAAAGTCATATGAAACAAATCAGTTGTTCTTTAACTTCTTTTGAGTAGTATTTATATGTGCTTTGGCCATGAAACAAATATCTTCATGTTTATTTATTGTTACAATGTTACAATGTCATTTTAGAATTTGTTCTTTTAAAATACATTAAATTTGAATATGTTGATTTGTTGCTCAATCTAAGATTGTGTATTCAAGTTTCAACTATTATATGACAACAGGTGAGGTTGGATACATACCACTTGATGATACACAGTGCAATATCATATCGCCTTCAGGCCACAATATAAGAATTATTAGTATTTCAGGCAATTAGAACAATTAGAGGAATTAAATTAGTTGTACAGTTTTATTTTTGTATTTATTTTCTTTAAATGAACTCTTAAGGCATTTCTACATGTACATTAACTTCTGATGGATGTGCTTCACCTGCAGCCGGAGTGTTTGGTTGGACTGTATATGCTGTTGTGAGTTCTGTCTCATGACCAATCCATGGCTCCCCTGTGGTTGTTGTGGTGCTGTTTGACTGAAGGGTTATTTCCTCCCGTGAAGATCCGGGTTAGAACTGGTCTTCACCAACCCATGCCTCGTAAGAGGCAACGAATGGGGTCAGGTGGTCAGGCTCGCTGACTTGGTTGATGCATGTCATTGTATCCCAATTGAGTAGATCGATGCTCATGATGTCAATTACTGGATTGTCTGGTCCAGACTTGATTATATACAAACCGCCATCACAAAGCTGAGATATTGCTGAGTGCGGCATTAAACAAGAAACAAACAACAACCATCAGTCAACACTGACAACATATTCTTCATCTCAAGAGTACCATTTATAAGGGTCATTGGAAGGTCAGGTGTATTTTTCCATGTAATTTCATTACATTACGCACAATTTTTCCTTGATGTATCAGGATACCTGAGTTTCACATTGCACATTGTATTGTATCTTCTACTGTGTATTAAGTTTTAAACCGTTAAAATTGTTGATCTGGTTTTGTCAATCAACCTGAAGGGTTACATGTACCTTTTAATGAGACAGTGACTGAATATCTTTTTGGTCCCACTATACGGTACCGAGTACTTAAAAGGATACTTTTAGCAGCTGATGAAAAGCATGCAATGTACTGTCATCTACTACTATGTCCTGGGGTTGGCTACACGTGGCTCAGTCGACTAGGGGCTGCAATTTGCTGTGGAGTTGTGTACCTTAGGCATGCCAGAATCCTATGACTATGATACCAGATTTGTGCTGATAAAGTTTCTGGTTATGTCAGCACCATACCCATGCTCGTGGGTTTCACCACTTTTCTCCCACATGATAACATACCATGATGAAACTGAAATACTGTTCAAAGGTAACATTAAATCAAACTCACTCACTCACTCACTCACTCACTCACCCACAACAACGATGTCGTCACATATTCTTCAGAACAGTTGAAGACCTGTCTTTAGCAACCCATGCTTGTCGTAACAGGCGACTAACGAGTTCGAGTGGTCAGACTCGCTGACTTGGTTGACACATGTCATCATATCCAAATTGTTTGGATCGATGCTCATGATATCAATCACTGGATTGTCTGGTCGAGATTTGATTATTTACAGACCGCCGTCATATAGCTGGGAAATTGCTGAGTGTGGCATTAAAACAACAAAAACAAACAAACAAACCAGTGAACCCAGCGAAAACATATTCTTCTAAAAGATATATGCCTTGTCCTTGTCATGTGAGAAGCTGACGAGAGAGAGGGTACACAGAAGGATGGTCGGGTGGTGCCAGGTGTGGTGTTTGTTTGGGGCCAGGTGTGGTGTTTGTTTGGTAACCAGTTACTAAAGGGGAGGAAAAAGGGACAGGACTACGGGAATTGGGGTTGTCAAAAATGAACGTGTGCAGATTAAAGGTGATGTGGAAGGCTGAAGAGTTTCAGGCAATAGATGACTTGGTGCCTGCTGGTCGGTGATGGAGTGTCGTGTATTCGGGTACAATACGGATGTCAACTCAAGAATGCTTGTTTTTTTTAATGTCATAAATTCCGTTTGTATTTAAGGGTCCAAAGGAGCTGATCTTGCTATATATAAACTGCTTATGTGTCTAACATATGCTCTCTTATCACTGATGTTAATTTCTTCTGATATCTTTATTGGTGCATTTCAATATGTGTTATATTGTATATAAAGAACTGTTTGCCGAACTGAATAAAATCATATATTTTTATGTTGATTTTAATAGTTTTGTATGTGTGGATCAAGGATGTTCTTATAGGTTTGGTTTGTTTGTTGTTTAACGCTGCACCCAGCAACATTCCAGCTACCGTATTTTCTTGAGTATAGTGCGCACTTTTTATGAGTTTGGATGTTTTTTCCCCCATGGAAAGACATTACTGTGAGCACCGGAAATACCATGTCAACAAATCCATACTGAAGTTCGCAAATTATTATATGACGGAGGTTCGTAAATAATTGAGTCAGGACCAAGAATGTGATTAATGTCATGAGCGACGATCCACGCAATTGGGATACAATGACATGCATCAACCAAGTCAGCGAGCCTGACCACCCTATTCCGTTAGTCGCCTCTTATAACAAGCATAGTCGCCTCTTATAACAAGCATGGGTTGCTGAAGACCTATTCTCTATCCGGATCTTCACAGGGCTCTTATAGGTGCACACACTGACATCTGTTGACAGAAATGTAAAGTAATCATAAAAAGCAGCCTCTACATATGGATTTAGGCAAAAGGCATTTGTGTGCCATAAAGGCATGTTGTCTCGCTTAAAGGCAAGTTGTCTCGCTTAAAGGCATATTGTCTCGCTTAAAGGCATGTTGTCTCGCTTAAAGGCATATTGTCTCGCTTAAAGGCATGTTGTCTCGCTTAAAGGCATATTGTCTCGCTTAAAGGCATGTTGTCTCGCTTAAAGGCATGTTGTCTCGCTTAAAGGCAAGTTGTCTCGCTTAAAGGCATATTGTCTCGCTTAAAGGCATGTTGTCTCGCTTAAAGGCATATTGTCTCGCTTAAAGACATGTTGTCTCGCTTAAAGGCATATTGTCTCGCTTAAAGGCATGTTGTCTCGCTTAAAGGCATATTGTCTCGCTTAAAGGCATGTTGTCTCGCTTAAAGGCATATTGTCTCGCTTAAAGGCATATTGTCTCGCTTAAAGGCATATTGTCTCGCTTAAAGGCATATTGTCTCGCTTAAAGGCATGTTGTCTCGCTTAAAGGCATGTTGTCTCGCTTAAAGGCATATTGTCTCGCTTAAAGGCATATTGTCTCGCTTAAAGGCATGTTGTCTCGCTTAAAGGCATGTTGTCTCGCTTAAAGGCATATTGTCTCGCTTAAAGGCATATTGTCTCGCTTAAAGGCATGTTGTCTCGCTTAAAGGCATATTGTCTCGCTTAAAGGCATATTGTCTCGCTAAAAGGCATATTGTCTCGCTTAAAGGCATGTTGTCTCGCTTAAAGACATATTGTCTCGCTTAAAGGCATGTTGTCTCGCTTAAAGGCATATTGTCTCGCTTAAAGGCATGTTGTCTCGCTTAAAGGCATATTGTCTCACTTAAAGGCATATTGTCTCGCTTAAAGGCATATTGTCTCGCTTAAAGGCATGTTGTCTCGCTTAAAGGCATGTTGTCTCGCTTAAAGGCATATTGTCTCGCTTAAAGGCATGTTGTCTCGCTTGAAGGCATGTTGTCTCGCTTAAAGGCATGTTGTCTCGCTTAAAGGCATATTGTCTCGCTTAAAGGCATATTGTCTCGCTTAAAGGCATGTTGTCTCGCTTAAAGGCATATTGTCTCGCTTAAAGGCATATTGTCTCGCTTAAAGGCATGTTGTCTCGCTTAAAGGCATGTTGTCTCGCTTAAAGGCATATTGTCTCGCTTAAAGGCATGTTGTCTCGCTTGAAGGCATGTTGTCTCGCTTAAAGGCATGTTGTCTCGCTTAAAGGCATATTGTCTCGCTTAAAGGCATATTGTCTCGCTTAAAGGCATATTGTCTCGCTTAAAGGCATATTGTCTCGCTTAAAGGCATACTGTGTCACGTAAAGGCATATCATCTCCAACAAAGGCATATTGTCTCGCATAATGGCATATTGTCTCCCACAAAGGCATATAATTGTCTCGCATAAAGGCATACGGAAAAACAAAATCAAGAGTGAAAAAAATGAAACCTATTCCTAAGAGAAATAAGCACAACGTCTTTTTGAACAAAAACAACAAAAAGAATATTACATCCATATAATTTCATTGTATTTATTTACAATTTGATCTAACATTTACATGAGCAGGATCTATAGCTTCACAGGTATACTAATATACCAGGTGTTGTGTGCCGAGGGGTTCACGTGGGGACTTATTTACAGGTATCTATGGCACCGTGCCAGGTGATGCATAGAAGTAGGCCAGTCTCCTCTCAGAAGCCATATTTGGCCTGTGTCTGTCGCTTGGTCATCCGACTCTGGGCCCACGAGTTCTTCAGCTCCAACTCTCTCTCTTTGGCCTGAAAAAGGAAGAAATGTGGTCAAATCATTATCATTGGTTCTTTGTAAGGGATATCTACATGTAGCAACATACCAAGCCAGGGATATCTACGTGTAGCAACATACCCAGCCAGGGATATCAACATGTAGCAACATACCCAGCCAGGGATATCTACATGTAGCAACATACCCAGCCAGGGATATCAACATGTAGCAACATACCCAGCCAGGGATATCAACATGGAGCAACATACCCAGCCAGAGATATCAACATGTAGCAACATACCCAGCCAGGGATATAAACATGTAGCAACATACCCAGCCAGAGATATCAACCTGTAGCAACATACCCAGCCAGAGATATCAACATGTAGCAACATACCCAGCCAGGGATATCAACATGTAGCAACATACCCAGCCAGGGATATCAACATGCAGCAACATACCCAGCCAGGGATATCAACATGTAGCAACATACCCAGCCAGGGATATAAACATGTAGCAACATACCCAGCCAGAGATATCAACATGTAGCAACATACCCAGCCAGAGATATCAACATGCAGCAACATACCCAGCCAGGGATATCAACATAGAGCAACATACCCAGCCAGAGATATCAACATGTAGCAACATACCCAGCCAGAGATATCAACATGCAGCAACATACCCAGCCAGGGATATCAACATAGAGCAACATACCCAGCCAGAGATATCAACATGTAGCAACATACCCAGCCAGAGATATCTACGTGTAGCAACATACCCAGCCAGGGATATCAACATGTAGCAACATACCCAGCCAGGGATATCTACATGTAGCAACATACCCAGCCAGGGATATCAACATGTAGCAACATACCCAGCCAGGGATATCAACATGGAGCAACATACCCAGCCAGAGATATCAACATGTAGCAACATACCCAGCCAGAGATATAAACCTGTAGCAACATACCCAGCCAGGGATATAAACATGTAGCAACATACCCAGCCAGAGATATCAACCTGTAGCAACATACCCAGCCAGAGATATCAACATGTAGCAACATACCCAGCCAGGGATATCAACATGTAGCAACATACCCAGCCAGGGATATCAACATGCAGCAACATACCCAGCCAGGGATATCAACATGTAGCAACATACCCAGCCAGGGATATAAACATGTAGCAACATACCCAGCCAGGGATATAAACATGTAGCAACATACCCAGCCAGGGATATAAACATGTAGCAACATACCCAGCCAGGGATATCAACATGTAGCAACATACCCATTAAGAGATATCAACATGCAGCAACATACCCAGCCAGGGATATCAACCTGTAGCAACATACCCAGCCAGGGATATCAACATGCAGCAACATACCCAGCCAGGGATATCAACATGCAGCAACATACCCAGCCAGAGATATCTACATGTAGCAACATACCCAGCCAGCAACATACCCATGTAGCAACATACCCAGCCAGAGATATCTACATGTAGCAACATACCCAGCCAGGGATATCAACATGCAGGAACATACCCAGCCAGAGATATCAACATGTAGCAACATACCCAGCCAGGGATATCTACATGTAGCAACATACCCAGCCAGGGATATCAACCTGTATCCACATACCCAGCCAGGGATATCAACATGCAGGAACATACCCAGCCAGAGATATCAACATGTAGCAACATACCCAGCCAGGGATATCTACATGTAGCAACATACCCAGCCAGAGATATCTACATGTAGCAACATACCCAGCCAGGGATATCAACATGCAGGAACATACCCAGCCAGGGATATCAACATGTAGCAACATACCCAGCCAGAGATATCAACATGTAGCAACATACCCAGCCAGGGATATCAACATAGAGCAACATACCCAGCCAGAGATATCAACATGTAGCAACATACCAAGCCAGAGATATCTACGTGTAGCAACATACCCAGCCAGGGATATCAACATGTAGCAACATACCCAGCCAGGGATATCTACATGTAGCAACATACCCAGCCAGGGATATCAACATGTAGCAACATACCCAGCCAGGGATATCAACATGGAGCAACATACCCAGCCAGAGATATAAACCTGTAGCAACATACCCAGCCAGGGATATAAACATGTAGCAACATACCCAGCCAGAGATATCAACCTGTAGCAACATACCCAGCCAGAGATATCAACATGTAGCAACATACCCAGCCAGGGATATCAACATGCAGCAACATACCCATTAAGAGATATCAACATGCAGCAACATACCCAGCCAGGGATATCAACCTGTAGCAACATACCCAGCCAGGGATATCAACATGCAGCAACATACCCAGCCAGGGATATCAACATGCAGCAACATACCCAGCCAGAGATATCTACGTGTAGCAACATACCCAGCCAGCAACATACCCAGCCAGCAACATACCCATGTAGCAACATACCCAGCCAGAGATATCTACATGTAGCAACATACCCAGCCAGGGATATCAACATGCAGGAACATACCCAGCCAGAGATATCAACATGTAGCAACATACCCAGCCAGGGATATCTACATGTAGCAACATACCCAGCCAGGGATATCAACCTGTATCCACATACCCAGCCAGGGATATCAACATGCAGCAACATACCCAGCCAGAGATATCAACATGCAGCAACATACCCAGCCAGAGATATCAACATGTAGCAACATACCCAGCCAGGGATATCAACCTGTAACAACATACCCAGCCAGGGATATCAACATGTAGCAACATACCCAGCCAGAGATATCAACATGTAGCAACATACCCAGCCAGGGATATCAACATAGAGCAACATACCCAGCCAGAGATATCAACATGTAGCAACATACCCAGCCAGAGATATCAACATGTAGCAACATACCCAGCCAGAGATATCAACATGTAGCAACATACCCAGCCAGGGATATCAACATGCAGCAACATACCCAGCCAGGGATATCAACATGTAGCAACATACCCAGACAGGGATATCAACATACCCAGCCAGGGATATCAACATGCAGCAACATACCCAGCCAGAGATATCAACCTGTAGCAACATACCCAGCCAGAGATATCAACATGTAGCAACATACCCAGCAAGAGATATCAACATGTAGCAACATACCCAGCCAGGGATATCAACATGTAGCAACATACCCAGCCAGAGATATCAACATGTAGCAACATACCCAGCCAGAGATATCAACATGTAGCAACATACCCAGCCAGAAATATCAACATGTAGCAACATACCTAGGCAGAGATATCTACATGTAGCAACATACCAAGCCAGAGATATCAACATGTAGCAACATACCCAGCCAGGGATATCAACATGTAGCAACATACCCAGCCAGGGATATCTACGTGTAGCAACATACCCAGCCAGGGATATCAACATGGAGCAACATACCCAGCCAGGGATATCAACATACCCAGCCAGAGAAATCAACATGCAGCAACATACCCAGCCAGAGATGTCAACTCCAGCAACATACCCAGCCAGAGATATCAACCTGTAGCAACATACCCAGCCAGAGATATCAACCTGTAGCAACATACCCAGCCAGAGATATCAACCTGTAGCAACATACCCAGCCAGGGATGTAGCAACATACCCAGCCAGAGATATCAACATGGAGCAACATACCCAGCCAGGGATATCAACATGTAGCAACATACCCAGCCAGAGATATCAACATGTAGCAACATACCCAGCCAGGGATATAAACATGTAGCAACATACCCAGCCAGAGATATCAACATGTAGCAACATACCAAGCCAGAGATATCAACATGTAGCAACATACCCAGCCAGAGATATCAACATGTAGCAACATACCCAGCCAGGGATATAAACATGTAGCAACATACCCAGCCAGAGATATCAACATGTAGCAACATACCCAGCCAGAGATATCAACATGTAGCAACATACCCAGCCAGGGATATAAACATGTAGCAACATACCCAGCCAGAGATATCAACATGTAGCAACATACCCAGCCAGAGATATCAACATGTAGCAACATACCCAGCCAGAGATATCAACATGTAGCAACATACCCAGCCAGGGATATAAACATGTAGCAACATACCCAGCCAGGGATATAAACATGTAGCAACATACCCAGCCAGAGATATCAACATGTAGCAACATACCCAGCCAGAGATATTAACATGTAGCAACATACCCAGCCAGAGATATCAACATGTAGCAACATACCCAGCCAGGGATATAAACATGTAGCAACATACCCAGCCAGGGATATCAACATGTAGCAACATACCCAGCCAGAGATATCTACATGTAGCATTATACCCAGCCAGGGATATCAACATATAGCAACATACCCAGCCAGAGATATCTACATGCAGCAACATACCCAGCCAGGGATATCAACATGTAGCAACATACCCAGCCAGAGATATCTACATTATTACATACCTGGAAGGCCAGGTAGGTGATCTGCTTCTTGCGGCGCTGTTGCTGGGTGGGGTTGTTGTCCTTCTTGTGCGACTGATACGAAGACTCTTCCGTCAGGTTCTTGGCAACATCAACAGAGCTGACGAAGTCATCCATGTTGGCATCGATGATGTTAATCTCCTCCTTCCCACGATGCTTCTTGCCTTGGAGTCGGAGGAACTGCAACACAACACGACATGATAACCTTTGAGTGAGTGAGTGAATGATGGAAAGTCCACTTCACCCACAGAGGGGGCTTACTGCATGATATTATTTGCGATATTATTTGCTTGATCCCTTTCGTTCAAAAGAAACGTTGACCTTGGCACGTTCTTGTGCTGGAGACACACAAAAACAGTGGACATAGTGCACCCTAATGAATAACATTTTTGGACCACATAATCATGTGATTAACAGCATGAGCAACAATTTAGTGTCAGGTACAGTGTCAATGTACTAACCTGATTCATACATCAGTGAGGTCTTAATGGGGACCTCATGTCTACAAGGGCCAGTATCAGGGCTGAGTACATGTGACTGCCTAGGATGCCCTATCTGCCATTATCCAGATCCATTCTATTATGCCTATGATAGCCTGTACCCATTTTCTACTATAACTTCTTTCTTAACAAGATGTTAAAAACAGCCATCCACTCAAATTACACTGTGTATGAGGGCAATTCTGTGCTAAGTTATTGACAAGCGAAATAGACATGGTGAAACCACTTCTGAAATGGAGTTGGGTAACTAATGGGTCCAGGGTATTTATTGTGATAGAATGGCAATATAATCCCCTGGATACAGGAGGATGAGGAGGATACCCGAGTAGACTGACCTGCTCATCTTGCATGTACTGGCTGAAGTCCTCCTGCTGGGGTGCCATGTCTTCCCCCTCGTATTGCCCTGCAGGTTCCAAGTACTGAAACGAACAAGCACAGGTTATCTCCCTTGTCAAACATATGGACATGCCAAACAAAAGGGACAAAGCATGATCAGTGGACTACGCAAACAACTTAAACATCAGTCATATCCTGAACAAATTGGCCTAACACTTACTGATTCAACCACTGACCTGTATGTGTAGGGTATGACTAAGATTCAACCACTGACCTGTATGTGTAGGGTATGACTGGAAGATTCAACCACTGACCTGTATGTGTAGGGTACCGTATATCGCTGTGTATAAGGCGAGTTTTTCGTACCTAAAATGAGGGGGTTAAGCAGGGGGTTCTCTTATACACGGAGTCGAAGATCTCACATTTTTTACCACTGGCGATGCAACCGCCGTCCGATAGCCAGCCCAGCATTTGACAATAAAACTTCGCATTTTGTCCTAAATAACTGTTCCAATAACTATTTCCATACATAAACATGATTTGTATCTCTTTTCCTTGAATAAAGTTTAATAATTTCTGCAAATAAAGTTGGAATGACCCTCGCCTCGATGCAGATTGTCAAACCAGCTGATACAGTAAAACAACCAACATCCGTGAGTAGAGAGCCGGAAGTACCGGTAAGCATTTGCATATTGCACATGTGACCTAAAATGTGATAACCGGTGAAGCTGAAATCAATTCCCGCTGTTTTTACAGTTGTATTAACAACTGTTGGAGACAGTGTGTATAAGTGATTGTGGAATAAACACGCTGAATGTGTAGCAAACATAAGCATGGTTAGTTACAACATAGTTAATTGGCGATTAAATTACTCACCATGGTCTCTTATATGTTATTACTTCATATATGAATTTTATTTTACGGGCACCAATTTGGTGTCGTACCGTGTAAACACAAAATGGAAACGTGCTGAGGTTACACACGCAACCAATCATCGTAGAAAAAACAACGCAAGATAAACATATTTTTATTGCATATATAAGGTTTGTGTGCGCACTTGTGATGTGCTTCATTCCAGGTCGCCTTATACACGGAGTATAGGATTTTGGGTTGATTTTGAAGGCATGTACAGGGGGGTCGTCTTATACGTGGAATCGCCTTATACACAGCGATATACGGTATGACTGTAAGATTCAACCACTGACATGTGGGTGTAGGGTATGACAGTAAGATTCAACCACTGACCTGTGGGTGTAGGGTATGACAGTAAGATTCAACCACTGACCTGTGGGTGTAGGGTATGACTGTAAGATTCAACCACTGACCTGTGGGTGTAGGGTATGACTGTAAGATTCAACCACTGACATGTGGGTGTAGGGTATGACTGTAAGATTCAACCACTGACCTGTGTGTAGGGTATGACTGTTTGATTCAACCACTGACCTGTGTGTAGGGTATGACTGTTTGATTCAACCACTGACCTGTGTGTAGGGTATGACTGTTAGATTCAACCACTGACATGTGTGTAGGGTATGACTGTAAGATTCAACCACTGACCTGTGTGTGTAGGGTATGACTGTTAGATTCAACCACTGACCTGTGTGTGTAGGGTATGACTGTTAGATTCAACCACTGACCTGTGTGTGTAGGGTATGACTGTTAGATTCAACCACTGACCTGTGTGTGTAGGGTATGACTGTTAGATTCAACCACTGACCTGTGGGTGTAGGGTATGACTGTAAGATTCAACCACTGACCTGTGTGTGTAGGGTATGACTGTAAGATTCAACCACTGACCTGTGTGTGTAGGGTATGACTGTTAGATTCAACCACTGACCTGTGTGTGTAGGGTATGACTGTTAGATTCAACCACTGACCTGTGTGTGTAGGGAATAACTGTTAGATTCAACCACTGACATGTGGGTGTAGGGTATGACTGTAAGATTCAACCCCTGACCTGTGTGTAGGGTATGACTGTAAGATTCAACCACTGACCTGTGTGTAGGGTATGACTGTAAGATTCAACCACTGACCTGAGGGTATGAAGAGTATGCAGGGTATGACTGCTGCTCCTGTGGTGCAGTCCCGGCGGTATGCATGTACTGGTAGCGAGTCCCCATGGATGCAGCAGAGAGAAGATTCTGTTGAGGCACAGTCGGCCTGAACGCCAAGGGAGCATCCTGATCTACAGACTGACCTACAGCGTCCGATGACACACTGTCACTACCTGTCTCTGTTTGAGGGATATGACTCACCACTACTGGTAGCACTGACTCATCCACTGCCTTCACAGTTACTGTTCTTGAGGAACTCTCCTGTTTAGGAGACACCTTCACGACACTGTCACTCAAAAGTGGTTTGGGATTTGAAACAGGTTCCTCAATGTCTGGATTTGCTATCACTTCTGAAGAATTCTGTTTAACAGTTTCAGAATCTAATGAGAAGAAGTTTGATTTCACTGTTGTTTCATCATCACTGTCAGAATCATAGCCCGTTAAACCACTGAAGGCAGTATACCGCTTTGAGAAACCCGATTCATCAGCCTCCTGCTCCACCTTGGGTTTGGGTTTTGCAGGTGGGGGCTTTGGCGATGGTTTCTGCGGCCTCTTGGTGAGGGTGTGGGGGATGAGGATTCGGTTGGATTCTTTCTTGGCCACATGAACTGGAGCAGGCAGCAAGGCAAACAGACCAACTTTTCCCTGGCAAGAGGATATGAACATTAAGCTTTGCATGTGACACAGATAGAGCCACAAGGCTTGGAGCTTACCTGACTTTCTGGGCTATTTGCTACATGAAAGTGTAAGGGCATGACAAAACAGTGACAGGAATAAGCAAACACAAACAAGTGCAGCTGATGCTTTACTGCACTGCCAGAAGGCCCCATAAACAAGTATTCGGACATCACATGTTTTCAGACAGCTATGTTTATTGCGATTACTCACGCTATAACAAGGAGTGTGGCGTCATGTAGACATTGTAAATACTCAGATGATGGCCTGTCTTTAAGATAAAGTCGTTTTTGATAAGTGAGTGAGATTTTTACATTGTTCTAGTGATTAACGAGAAAATTACTAATGTTTCTTAAGAGTCTGAAAACCCATAACATAGGGATACATATCACCGTGCACTTCCAGTCCAATACCAAGCTTACTCCAACCCCAGTCTAAAGTACCCTGCCTTTAGCTCTAACCAACATAAGGAGGAACCCAAAGTCCTGTCTGGTCTCATCAAGATATTACCATGATGACTTGTGGTCTGAGAAAGCACATGGCCTAAAAGCCAAACAGCATCTTTGTTACATTGATAAGAAAGTTATGGGCACTTCCTGTTTCATATGTGCTACTCATTTAAGTACATCAATGGACCTACTTCTGTTATCATAAGATAACACAAGTATTCAGATTCCTCACCATTTAAGGGAAGAGAGTATGTCATGGTCAGAGCCCAGAGCAGTCTAAAAGTCCAAATATGGTCCACCCCAAAACCCTTTCATATTTTATTCTGCATACCATATACTTAGTGCATGTGAACATTCATAATACATACAGTAATGACTAGAGAAATACAGAAGATAAGCTATTCATATTTAACTTCAGTGTGAAAGACTGAATTTTCTGAAGTTTGAAAAAATAATATTTTCATTGCAGTGAATATTACACTTGATATTTCACTGCAGTGAACACTTTGATGGATCTACTGTCGTACCAGAGTTACCTCCCCATTAATTACCTCCCCTTACCGTAAGTGTCTAGCCTGTAAACTGTTGAGTGAGTGAGTGAGTATGGTTTTACGCCGCTTTTAGCAATATTCCAGCAATATCACGGCGGGGGACACCAGAAATGGGCTTCACACATTGTACCCATGTCGGGAATCGAACCAGGGTCTTCAGCGTGACGAGCGAATGCTTTAACCACTAGGCTACCCGAACGCCCCCATAAACTGTTCACTTCCTTTTAATATTAGTTTGAAATTGACAAGGCAAATAATCACAGATGGTCATTTCTGGAGATAAGATCGCTTCTGGCAATTTGTTATTTTCTTGAAAATGTTTTGGTATAAACTGTAAATTTCTCATTTAACTCGTCAATCAAGACGGTTTGTTTCACAAAGCACCATTCTGTTGCTTGTCCACTGTATATTCTTTCGCTTCCAACAGAGGTATCGTAGATGTCAAGAATATATTTTGTTGAAGTTTTATTTTGTATATAATCATATCAAATTGTATGATAAAGAATTGTATTGACCTCTGAAGTTTTTTGTTACTTTTGTTAACATTTTTTAAGATTTAGCAAACACAGAACAACAATTACAAGGGGTGGTGAAACAAATGCTATATTCTTTGTGTCAAGTGAAATATCATGTTTCTCGAGACAGGGGAAAGGAGATATTTTCACGAGTGGCGCAATCCTCTATATATTTCTGTAAATGATCTCGTAAGATGGACACCACCTCTAGACATCCTCCTTACCTTTGTGTCAGTGGTTTTTGCTTTCTTTGAAACCGGTTCCTCTTCATCCGAATCCTGAAAATATGAAACATTCCAGTGAGTTAGTTGGGTATAATACTGCCCAGCATATTACTTCAGTTATATCATGGCATATCAGCTTAATGTAGTTTTAGTCATTTACCAGCTTGGTGAAATCCAAGAGCATGGACATAGTGCCGACAAACCAAGAATCACATTCAAGACAAAACTTTGGATTCAAACCCATGGTCAGCGGATCCTTGCACAACTAAGGGATGGAACTCTGAACACTTGCTCAGTTGTATGCTTTCACACGTTGTAGTGACCACTACACAGTGCATTGCATTACACAACATGATACAGTTTACATTGTACAGTCCCTGTAAAAATGAGCATCACCTGTTTCTAGTGCTGAGTTTGAGAGCATGTGATAGACGAGCAGTAACCATGGAAAGAGCTTCTAATTAGGAGATAACCATTGTTTTCGGATTTCCAGGTTAAGTGAGTATTTGTCACCAATAAACATTATTTGGAATGAGATAAAAAATTATTTTTTTACATGAACCAAGGCTAAGTAACCATGGTTACGGTGTAACAGTAACTCTGTACATGCTGGACTCACATTATCAAGTTTAGGAATGCTGATTTTGACAGGCATCTTGGCTTTCTTTGGAGGTTTGGGGGCATCAGATATCTGGGTACTTTTGGGTTTGACCTCTTCCTCCAGCTCATCTTCTTGGACACCATCCTCTCCCCCAACCTTCGGTGCAGGCAAACCTGTATATCAGTAAGCTGATTGTAACTGTAGATCGCCTTCAGGGACATGGAATAATGTAGAACTGATTTTTGTTTGTTTGTTTGTTGCTTAACACCACACTCAGCAATATTCCAGCTATATGACAGTTATCTGTAAATAACCGAGTCTGGACCAGACAATCCAGTGATTGACATCATGAGCATTGAACTATACAATTGGGATACGACGACATGTAACAACCAAGTTGGCGAGTCTGACCACCCGATCCCGTTAGTCGCCTCTTACAACAAGCATGGGTTGCTGAAGACCTATTCTACCCCATGTAGAGAATGAGGAAAAGTAGGGAAGTAACATTCACTGAGAAATACAAATTGTGCTTTAAGTCACTTGCCCAAATTCACTCCTATAATTTGTTTGTTTTGAAATTAACCTTAGCAGTTAACTTAAAGTTGGGACATACTGTTGAAATTGTCCATTGTATATGCTGACAGGATTAGCATTCCCTGGGGAGGGGGTCCTCCAAGAATCCATTGAATCTACAGCATATGTTTATTGTGTTACACAAAGATTTCTCCTAGGCAGACAATCAAAGTACTTGAAATTACATAGAATTTATTCTTTAAGACTATAATATTGTTGATGACAATAGGGCTGGGATGAGTCCAAATTTACTACCTGGTTACCCAACCCCCTAATTCCCTATCTGGGTACCCATTGTAGTTCTCAAGAGACGGGTACAAAATGTCCGATTGGGATTAGTTTGACCGTAGCCCTGGCAATATGTATTTAGATACACGTATGACACGATCTGGTCATGAGTGAGTAAATGTTGCTTTAAGCCGCATCAGCAATATTCCAGCTATTCGCGGCTACGATCTGGTCATGCATACACTGAAGTAAACTGAAGCTTTATCTTTACTCAAATATATGAAAGTTAGAAGGAATGCGTGGATAGTCAGAAAGAATTTCGAACATTAGTGACTTGTTGTGTAACCGTGGAGTTCTAGATAATTTTGGTCATTAAACAATATATTATGTTGCTAACCACAGGTCCGGGTAGTCCTGTGGGTACCCGGGTGATACTCAGTACCCACCCGAGTACCAGAGTTACCTGTCCCTGCCCTATAAGGCAAAGGAAGAAAATACTTATTTCATTTTGTACCCAGAGAACATTTTGTTACATCTACAGGAACCAAATAAGCTGCTTATCTCACCTATAAAAAATGGGCCTACCTTTTGAATACAGTACCACAACCTTTTTAAACACGTGACAATACCCTATAACATAATTTGTAGTATTTTGTTGCCAGTCACACCGGCGAAGCAATACCCTGTGACGTCAGGGGTCTTCGAGTGTGCATAAGCTCCTCCCAGTGATCTATCACCCCTACACGCAATGTCAATGAAAACGCCCAGCGGTGTTGAGAGTTTGAATATTTGTTATCTAAATATAGACTGCGGCGGCGCATTTTAGAGGAAGTGCTAGTTTTTGTAATTCAAGTGGCTAAAATGGTTATAAATGGGAACTAATATACATATATTATTTTTTAGGTTCATTACTTTTCATTATTATGCACACCCCCGTGAAGATTCCGGGGTAGAATAGGTCTTCAGCAACCCATGCTTGCCATAAAAGGTGACTATGCTTGTCATAAAAGGCGACTAACGGGATCGGGTGGTCAGGCTCGCTGACTTGGTTGATGCATGTCATTGATCCCAATTGCGTGGATCGATGCTCATGATATTAATCACTGGATTGTCTAGTCCAGACTCCATTATTTACAGACCGCCTTTATATAGTTGGAATATTGCTGAGTGCGGTGTTAAACAACAAACCAAACCAAACCAAACCAAACCACAAGAATGCAGTTTATTAGGGATATTATTTTGGTGCTGAACACATCCAAATGTCGCCAGTGTCTCTACCCTTAGCCCTCGGATCCCCTTTACGATCAATCACCCCTTTACGATTAGGGTTTGGTACCTGTTTAGTGGCTATTATAGCTTTCTATAGCGGCTCCTAATATTCTTCACACAAAAAATGTCACGTAAAAAGGATGACATGGTTTTGTGTCGAATATTTTGGCTATGGGAAACAGTCCTGGAACATTCACACAAGCCACTTTCACCGGTTACACTTTTTCAGTACTGATTTGAAAGCGAAGTCACCGTTGTGTCGTCACTAGCCACGCCCATGCCTCCCTCGTTCCTTACTGTTATCCACATCATCCTTACAGTGTTCCCTACCACACTTTTCTGTCACAAAAATCACCCAACAAATGATTAAATACCATATCATTCAAGTGTACTCGCGAGTTCGACGTGGACGCCTGGAGCTGTTTTCAGTTTGCGCCATATCGGCTCATTCCTCACCACTCGGTATCTTGTAGATTACAGAATGGGATGAGTGCACCAAATGGCATCGGGATCATTTGTAAGTGTCCGTAGACTCAAGTCACGAGACACCATGCCTGCCCGTAACTTTCGTAAGTGTCCGTCACCTATTTGACCCTTTTCGTTCAGTTCCGTAACGTCATAGGGATGATTAGGTAAATTTGCACTTTGTTTCACAGTGTGGACGTAGCTCAGTCGGTTAGCTCTCGGGCTAACAATCCAAAGGTCGCGAGTTCATGTCCGTCGGATTCTCACCAAATCTGGTTGCTTGTCTTTGAGACATGTGACCTACGGCAGAGAATGTTCTCACGGGAAGTTATGGTACTGTATTCTAAGGTGCTCCAAAAAATGTACTACAACCTTTTCTTTTGTGGCCATGTAGAACTTTCATGCAGTCATGCTTTGCTGAAACCTGCATGGATTTAATTTGATGAAAATTTAAAAAAATATATAAAAAAGGAATCTTTGGTAGGCATTTAGAAGTTGGAAGTTGGCAATAAGGGCAAACATGCTTATAGGCTATATCAAAATGTACCCTGTTCAAAAACAATACGCAGCCCATAAACAGGTCGAGCATGACCACAGTCAAGACAGCAACTCGACATATATCGCTGCAAGACAATCTAACGTCTAACTCTTACTTACTTAAGTGATTAGGTTTGCACTTACTAATAATATCTTAGCTTTTGGACATCGTCTAAATGGGCCCGTCTAAATCCCTACAATATCAGGTGGTCAGGTTAGAGTTGCTCGAGTTGTTTTAGCGTTAGGTAGATCATGGACATAGAAACAAATGCATTAAGTGTCACTGCCCGCATCTCTACCATCATCACAAACAGGTACCTTTCAGTAAGCTGGTAACAGTGTCGTCAATGTCCACTGTCCCAGCTGTTGCAGGTGCTTGGCCTGTTGTACTCGCTGGGACGTAGTCTTCCTCGTCGCTAATATTGTCATCTGTTGGTGCGACAGACTTATCATTTTTGACATTGTTCATTTGAACATCATCTTCTGCATCGCTGCCACCACTTTCGTCACTGGAATTGTACGCAACAAGCGACATTTTCGTGATAATTTGTCACGACAATGTCAAACCTCTTTTCAAAGGGACGCAACTCTAATACCAGTATTGTCTTTTCTTCCTCACAAAAGAAGAGTTTGTTTGCGAATGGAAGTAGTTGAAGCTGCGGTAAAATATCTATTGGAAACTCATTAATAGCTTTGAACAGAATGTTAACGGCGTGTCAGACGGAAAGTCTAAAGCGATACAGGACGTCTACCGCACTGGTGAATCACTGGCAGGGTGCTGACCAAGGAACATAAACAGAATTGATTATAGATACGGTCTTCCTTCTTATTGGTCAATAACGACAAGCGGATCCTTCAACAGGTAAGGTGCGCAACTCTGCACAGAGAATAACGGCGACTACAAAAAGGGACCTACCTGTGCCCCCACGTTATAAATGAAAGGACGATGTTTGAGTTAGGCCACAGTTAGCAAACTAATATTTGCAATATAGATTGGGAAAATTATAAAAGCTATACAAAATTATTGCCTGTCGCGTAAAACACTTATGATTATACTTGGCGATTTCCCAATATATATCGTTATAAAGCTACCTATGTTTGTCGTATTTACAGGTCGCCTTCATATAGCTGGACTATTACTGAGTGCGGCGTAAAACACCAAACACAAACACATTGTAGTTATACTTACCTATATATTGATAATATAATAATGATAATTTCGCCTCCAAAATAACTCCCCACTATAAACATTGTATTCCGTGAATGAATTATTGCTGTTATGTGAAATACAGAGACTTAAATATGTTTCATTGAAAATACAAGAGGATATCAATCCATATACAGTAGTCTAACAAGACCGTATTTTGATCCATCAGTGATATTTATCTACTATTTTGCTTTATAGGTTTTTACTTACTGTATAATATGCTCCCGTGGCTGTATGGCCATATATAGGTCAGATATTGACGAGTTTGACTCACAACACTGATCTTCAATACATGTTGGAAGTAACGTTGTCACGAACTTGCGTCATCGGGGAAAATTGGTTGCACTGGTTCAGTATACAATGCGACAACTCCACATGATGGTAAATGGAGATTAACCAGACCCGCCCGCCCCCATGCGTTGATGTCCGCAAGCTTACACCTACACTGATATATCTAATTTCCCTACAATATTACGTCGGTCGAAATCTAAAGAATATTTGGTTTTTGAAAATATCTAAACTATACGGTTCGAGTATGCGAGAACGAGTCTTGTTTTTAGTTCATGTATCTTTTTTATGTCGGATTCCCAATCAACGTCGTAAAGTCAGGCCACAAATGAACCAAATCGCCGCAGTTTTCCGGTAGTCCCAACAAAGAACGATAACTCTTTGTGGCCTATCGAACAAGAAAGTCGCTATTATCCACACACAACTGACACGCGAATGAAAAATTGTCGAACATACAAATATGATGACCCAGCTGATCTTTTGTAAATTAACAAACTTGGATGTGGTGAGTCAAAATGACCCGTTAATGGATAAGTATGCTGTAGCTACTTTGAGACGTCGATTTAAATTCCAGGTGTGTGTAGAAAGACGGGGATGTTGTGCTGGGCGGAGTGAGGTTGCTGTCACTGGGAACTGGTTTGGACGAGTGATCCTATGCAGGCCGCGTCAATAGTTTTGCAGGTAAATGCAGTTTGAGATTCAGTTGTGAGACAATATCAAATATTTACGGAACCGACCATTTGGTATTTGAAGGGGTGGACAAAAATAATCTATTCAAGAAAAAAAAGGTCCTTATGTTTTACACACTTTCTCCTCATTCACCCCTCCCTCCACACACGCCCCTCCTTCTCTCCACGCCCCTCCCTCCACACTCGCTCCTCCCTCCACACACGCTCCTCCCTCCCTCCACACACGCCCCTCCTTCTCGCCACGCCCCTCCCTCCACACTCGCTCCTCCCTCCATCCCTCCCTCCACACACGCCCCTCCCTCCACACTCGCTCCTCCCTCCCTCCCTCCACACACGCCCCTCCCTCCACACTCGCTCCTCCCTCCCTCCCTCCACACACGCTCCTCCCTCCCTCCACCCTCCCTCCACACACGCTCCTCCCTCCCTCCACACATGCTCCTCCCCCCCCCCTCCACACACGCTCCTCCCTCCCTCCACACACGCTCCTCCCTCCATCCCTCCACACACGCCCCCGCCCCCCCCCCCCCCCCCCCCTCTCCACACACGCTCCTCCCTCCCTCCACATACGTCCTGTACAAAAGAAAATTAATTGTTCGGCTCCCCTTTCACAAACTTGCATGTTTTAAAGCAGTGACGGAATAAAATATCCTGTCTCTGACAGTCTAACAATGAAGCTGTCAGTTGTCTTTTACAACGGTCATCAACAGAACTGCCAACTGTACAATACACGAACGGAACTCTCAGTTGTCTTAGAATGGCATAATACGTCCATCTAGGTAACTGTACATTAGTCATGATCAGCCGATCACCGGAACTGTCAACTGTTCTTTAAACAATCATCAGCGGAACTTTCAGCAAGACTTTACAGCGCTAGATTCGAATCTATATTAATGCGTTGATAGTTGAAATATGTCAGTCGGGAACCAAGAAAATACTGGAATCTATATTAATGCGTTGATAGTTGAGGTATTTGAGACGGGAATCAAGAAATTACTTAAAGCATTGCACTCTATATCAACTACGATATGATCCCAGGCAGTGCGTCGAAGGTGCGACACGACTGTTCTACAGATTAAGGCAGTCATCGAACACTCTTTCCAAGATCTGTTAATCCAAGAACGAGATCATGCTAGTTTAAGCGCCTCGGAGTTTTCTACTCAAAAGCCGGTTAATTATACCACAGTGTCAGGCACAGACGGGAAATTCCAATAGGTCATATAAAGACATGTATAAATTTAGGACTCCCAGTCTAAGGGTTTGCTCGATTGCTTCAGTCAAACATTTACACAATTATGTACAGTTTGGTCTTTTCAGACTTCCTTGTCAGGTCCTCTTGTAAGTGCACATGAGTGTGTACCACAGACTAGCCGTAACATCGCAACCAGGACATAGTATCCGTATTGGTCCGTAAACTTTTAACCTAGATTATTAGAGTCCGTGGTCCGCCGCCATGGCCTAGTGGATAGAGCGTCGGCCCGGGGAGCAGAAGGTCCGGGTTCGATTCCCTGGCCGGTCATACCAAAAGACGTTAAAACATTATACTTGTTGTTACCCTACCTGACGTTCGGCATTAATGGGATAAAACAAGGACTGTCTGAATAGGGTATCCATCCATGTTAGCTGCGGAATGGTATCTCAGTGGGCCAGTACTATAAAACCGTCTTTACACACACACGTACGCACGTACGCACGCACGCACGCACGCACGCACGCACGCAATAATTCTTAACGCGACGTTAAAACCTAATTTACCACGCCTCACCTGTTGGCGCCCACTCGCTTGTTTTCAACTAACCAATGACACTCGGTTTGTGTCAATACTAGGGCTGGGGCGATACTATGGCAAGCCTTTTTCACATTTATTACTGGGCGGTCGGGTAGCCCAGTGGTTAAAGCGTTCGCTCGTCACGCTGAAGACCCGTGTTCGATTCCCGACATGGGTATAATGTGTAAAGCCCATTTCTGGTGCCCCCCGCCGTGATATTGCTGGAATATTGCTAAAAGCGGCGTAAAACCATACACACACACAGAGTCTGCAGGTATGAAACTGTATCTTAATGTGCATGTATCGTTCCATTCCTACGACATTTAGTGTTGGTGCTGTGTGTGGGGGGAATTGCATCTGCATCTGGCCTCAAGGGATGGCTGGCATCAAGAGAGAAGTACCCACATTGAACGTCATGTCAGTGCTGCTGGCTTTGCACTGTTTCAACAAGTGTTTTGTTAGCATTGAATTCAGAAATATACTGGTTACAAACAATATTCGGGGCGGTCTGGTAGCCTAGTGGTTAAAGCGTTTGCTTGTCACGCCGAAGACCCGGGTTCGATTCCCCACATGGGTACAATGTGTGAAGCCTGTTTGTGGTGTCCCCCGCCGTGATATTGCTAGAATATTGCTAAAAGCGGCATAAAACCAAACTCACTCACTCACTCACTGACATTTATTACGGAATTATTGATATCTTCAATTGTTTTAAAGATATCGGTATTTTATTTAAAGATATCAATAATGTTTTCAAGATATCAAAACTAATTAAAGATATCTTAAATTCATTTCCGATATCCATAATACAATTACTGATATCTTAAAATGTTACGGTGATATCAACAAAGTAGTTTGTGATATATCTAAATGTTTTTAAGATATCATTAAACATTTACCATCCTACTGTACATATAAATATATTAGAAATAAATTCAAGATATCTTAAATTCAATTCAAGATCTCTATAAACAATTGAACATATCTGTAATTCCGTAATAAACGTGAAAACGGCTTTGCCATACATCAACTGTGCGATCCGATATTCGTGCTCGTATCTGTAGTGCGTAACCCATATTTTTCATAGACAGGATATTCAAATACCTGGCACGCTGATGATTTACAGTTGGCAGTGTCAAGTATGGCGCAATGGATGAAACTATTTACTTTTTCACCACTAATTTTCACTACTCATTAGTGTTTGGTGTAACATGTATTATCGAATCCTTTTAAGGTAAGAATCGATACTTTTTACTTAGTGTGCAACTGTGATCGATACTTGTATCGGGAAGTAAAATATCGCGATCCACCGATGCATCGGTGTATCGTCCCACCACTAGTCTATACCTAGCATCTTGTGACTGGACACCTCATTCTTAATGAATAACATCAGTCTGACAGTGTACTGTATTAACTGATAGTTGCCGATTGCACTGACAGTGCGAGATTCCAAACTTATAGATACAGTACGGCATGACTATTGATAGTGACAGTCCACAATATGTCAGGCCGAAAAGTCCAACCAAATTATTACATACACGCCATAACGCCCCCACACAACCCCTGCTGCCACATAGCAGGAATTCCTGGTGTTTTACTGCAATGTGTATTTATAAATGTTGTTCCTTATTTAAACGAATGTGTCCT